AATTAATTTCCCGCCATTATTTAAAACTCAATTGCGCATGCGCGGGCATTCATTTGTTTTGCCCATATACCTTTGCCCATATACCTTTTTTACCTTTTGACCCTGACCTTTTGCCCATTTGACCTTTTGCCCATTTTACCTTTTGCCCATGTGACCTTTTTTTACCTTTTGACCCTGACCTCGACCCTTTTGCCCATATACCCTTTGACCCTTTTGCCCATGTGACCTTTTGCCCATGCGTGACGTCAGACCGGAAGTGAAAACGTGGTTGAATTGGTATTTCTTCCCTACTGTCGCTACATGATATGCAGTCCAAGTTTATATTTTATAAAAGAAGCATTATGATTGTATCTAAATAAGAGTATACTTGCCATCCAAAAAGCCTTGCAAGTTAAAAAAAAAACTTTTATTTACATTAAAATGTCAAAAATTTATTAAGTAAATTTAAATATAACTAATTATGTTAAATATATTATTAAAACTCAGTTCAAATTTATAAATTTAGTTGTTGTAAATGTAAATTTATGGAAGGTAATAATTTTAAATATTATTAATTTAATATATTACCATCCAAGAAATTAGCACGTTTAAGAGGGGAATTGGAAATTTTTTGGCAAAATATTACATAAAATAATATAACAATGAGAAAGAAATGCAATTCCTGGCCGCCCCCATTAGATTTGTAAACTGATGCTTTGGTTGACAATCGTCACTGCACTTTTTATCTTTAATTATTTTTTTAATGGAGGTACAAATATCCGGTCGCTGAAAGTGACAAGAAAAAATCATAAGTTTTTAAATGGTTGTACCAGAATACAATTAAAGTTAATTATTGTTGTTTATTCTACTCAAGTCATACATGAAAAAAAATTGATTTGGAAAAAATGAGCAGAATTTAGCAGCAGTTATTTATCTTAATGTTATTTATTTGTCCGAATTATTATCTCACATTGTTACAGTTAAAATATTCATTTAAAAAAGATTATTATGTCAATTGTCGGTTTCCCATCAAAATAACTTCCACTTAAACAGAAGTGTGTTTTTAGACATTTCGGAACGCATTTAAAAAGTTGACTAGTCTTTTTGCCAATCCCTACAATGATAAACCAGATTTCTTTTATTTTACCATATGCGTGTTTTGGTTTTATTTTTTAATTCTGCCACCGTCCTTTTGCGCTGCCTAATGTTAATAATGCTGGAAAAGACAAAGGCGAAGCGAAACCGTTGTTGTTATTTATATAAATGCGTCCTCGCAGATTATTCTTTCCGTGGCAAAAGTATGTGTGTACGCAAAATTACAATTTGCATAATAAAAAGCGTTTCGGATCTCTCCGTGTCCACAAAGCAAAAGCGGGGCAATAAAACACCTCTGGGAGCAGCGAGAGAGTGAACTGGACCGCTTTTTCATTAAACGACGAAACATTCCGAATTCTCGGCGGGCGGTCTTTTCAAAGGACACCAACGTCAAAGACTGTTTGAGTTGGATATATCGCAATTAGACAAAAGGCTGTCTCTTTATTTGACCCTCAAAGCCGTCCCGTGCAAAGCATTTTTTTTTTTAAATACGGGTTCAAAGAATGAGATGAAATGGAACAGTATGGGTGTGTGTGTGCTACTGGCGAAATGCTCATTCCGGTTTAACTCGCAAACTGACTCTCCTGTCACGCACTTCAAACTAAATTCCTCTCGCGAAATCTTTTCCTGGAAAGCAAACTTTTCCTCCCACCGTGCCATGCTAAAAAAAAAAAATATATTGAATTTTTTTCAAAAGACGCCCTTCCGAATAATTTGCAGTCGGAATGGAAAAGCGGCGGCGGCTGATCCTTTTCATAATAATCATATGGTTGAATTGATTTCGGCCGCGCCAGATTGAATTTCGGGTCAAATAAGTATCAAGCGGCTCTGACACTGATGGGGAGAGCGAGAAAGAGGACTGATCGAATAAAGCTGCGCCCAAGTGACGCATGTCGTTGTAACTCCTTGGCAAACTTCAAAACTTTCAATAAACTAAGCTTCAACCTTGAACTTTCTATTCTTCGTGTAGAAATAAATTTTTCTGCTTAAATTATCAGTGATTTTCAGAAGGAAACTTCAATAATAAAAAAAATTGATTTAAAAACTGAAATGAAAGCTTCAAGCCGCAAGCTTAACCACCAGTTTTCAAGAATCCTGATTGAGAATTAAATTAAAAAAAGTCCAAAGATAGGGTAAAAAATATCAAATAAAAATTATGGAATTTAAAAGAACGCGCAAAATTAAATATAACCTTGCAAAATCTTAACAAAAGATGCTACTCGTTTAAAAGAAAATGAGATGCTATGAGAAAATATATTTCTCTTAATCAATTACAAAAGCATACATGTGTGCAATAATAATAAACTTTCAATTCTCCTAACACTTATTAAAAATAAGAAAAATAAAATATAATTTTGTTTGATTAGATTTTATTAACTTTGAAGTTCAAAAATTAAAATTAAAACAAGCAAAAAAACCTTCAATTTTTTACATTTTGTACTTTTTTTTATAAAAAATCTAATACCATGCAAGGAAATGTATTAAAAAAATTCTTTTAATATATTTTTGTGTCTACATTTCACATTTATACCCAATTTTCATTTTTATTTTTAGACCATTGCTTCTAATCTGACCTCTCTTACTTAGCGGCGGGATTGAATAAAAATTTAGAGACGGTTTTGTCCTGTTGATAGATGGGTCGCCTGTGCAAGAATAAATAAAGCCTTGAGATTTTGCCAAGAAGTCCTTTAACCCCCGTCAACCCCAGGGGTGGCCCCACCTATGAAGCCACCACAGTCGCGTCTCCTGTTCTCCCCCATTCGTTCCGCTTTCGGATTCGCGCGACCTCAAAGAGGCCCAAAGAGCGAGGAATTATGAGCATCAAGACGAATTTCAAACGAACTTTGACTTCGGATGAAAAATCTTCTGATTCGCTCTATTCATATGTATTTCGATTTCGCTTTGATGTCTGAATGATTTGGTGCCTCGCAAAGGATCTGATAATTATTGTGGGCGGCCATGCCGAAAGCCAACAGTTGTGCCCATTTTGCAAATTGTCAAGCAGATAACTCCGAAATTTACGTAATAAAAGTCTTTAGCTAGCGCAATGCCGGAAGAAAAATGAGCGTCCTTTGTGTTCTGGGCGCGCAGGCAGTAAAGAGAAGTTAGTTGGAAAGAGCGGAACAACATACACGAAATCTTGGCTGCGACACACTCACATACTAACCCGCGCCGCGTTATCTCGCGGTGCGCTCCTCAGGGATTGCCCCGGAGACTACCTATTTTATTCCTTTTAACGTATATACGCGTGTGCCATATGTGTATTTTTTTTTGTCTCGCTTCGTTCGCACACAGAGAAAGAGAGATAGAAGCCTAATCTTATTATCATTATTTATTGTCTCCGCCCATTGCGCCCAACACGTTGTTACAGTCAAGATTTTTACCTCAGTCTTTTTTTTTTTTGCTTTCCAATCGAAAGCAATGAGTGTAAATTTACAAAACCAACCTGGGTTACCAATTCTTATCGACATTTTCAATTAAAATTTATTTGAAATTTGAAATGTTGGGTTTTGAATTTGAAATGAAATTTTTTATTTCCATAAACAGATGAATCACTTTTAAACTGAGGAAATGATACAAAGTTTTTACATTTTATTATTTCTTAATTTAATCCTATGCAGATTGGTGATCGTTTTCAACGGTTTTTGCGGATTCATTTGCTAAGAAAATATTAATGAATAATTCTGATTTAACTTAACTCAGCCCAAAATTTGTTATTTTTCCACCGTGTTTGTAAGAACAATTTTGTTTTTTGCTATTAATCAGTTCAGACAAGTTTCATATCTTTGCCACAGCATGCCGGGTGAAACCATTTTTCTTGAAACAAGTTGACTGAGACGCAAAATCCAATCCATCTGTACCAAAATATCCCAAAATCATTACTCATTTTAACAAAAATATTTCACCCGTATGACCAAAAACCCTTAAATTTTTATTTTTAATACAGATATAAATATTCAAGACTCTCCACAATCAAGCACCAAAGAAGCTATTTCAGATCACTGATTTTAAACAGAAAAATGTACATGGCTTTTAATAGGTTTTTTGATTAATACATTACCTTAAGAACAAGAGTGGTCTTTTATTTCATTTTCATACTGAGAGGAGCTACTAAATATATTTTATATATTAGAGAAAAAACTTCCTAAACATCAACATCATTCCTCAAAATTGACTTTTATTGTTTCGAAAAAATCTCTGCGAGTGATTTCTCAAGGATGCAAGAGAAGTCGAACGAAAAAGCAAAACACATCCGAGTTGATTGGCGCATCACGCGAAGGCGGCTGATCAAATGAGCAGCCGAGAAAAAAAGTGTAAATCCACTTTGAGAGCTGCCAATAAACTTTTGCGCCGAGATTCTGCGAACGGCAGGGCCGCGGCTCACGATTTTCGGCGTGATTGATATATCGGCAGGGCGGGTGGGTTTCTATAGAGTTGTTGTTCGGTCGCCATGGCCACCGCACACGTTTTGAGTGCCAGGTTGTGTTGTCTTGCCAGTCCAACTCGACCAGGCCTCGGAGCACGTGCAACCACAAAGACGCACCCTTAGTCCATGTAGCGCTCAAAAGGTGAGATAAAAGCTGGAAACTCTTTCCAAGGCAAATGGCTTACGTTTTGTTCCCGCCTTCATCTTTCATCAAAGATGTGAATTATTAAATATTAGCTTCTGCTGAACACATTTTGTTTGGGGTCAGATGAGACAAAATTGGCCAAAAGTCACAAAGAAAAATCTGGAAAGTCAAAATGCTGTAACTGGTTGGATCATATTTAATTAAGTATTTCAAATAAAAATAGTGGATAGCGTTGATTAATAAAATTAGTGTTTCTTTGATGAATTTAGTGTGTTTGTTGTGATTTCTGAATAAAAACTACGCTGTTTGTTCGTAATAACGTTAACAATAGAAAATGACAAAATTAAACAATTCATTAAGGAAACGTTAAATTTTTATTCATAAATGAAAACAAAGTTCTGATATTTTAATTTAAGAAAATATCCATAAGCCATTATTTACGCGTAAGTAATTTCAAAATTTTTAAAGTAATTTTATATCTATCTCAATCACTGAATGAATGATGCATTTTAAAGCGAAAATATTTTAATTAAAGATTTATTTAAACCTATAAGACGATCATAGAGGCCTTGCGCTAACAGAAGTTCTTTGTTACTTCAATTTTTTGTTGCACAACGTAATGAGCCTCAGGCCAGAGCGGAATTTGGCTAACTTTTAGTTACAGATAAAATTATATTTCATTTTAAATCCTAGATTTGTAGTTAAAAGTAAGGATTATACACATTATAAATTACATGAACTGGATTTATTGAAAGAAAATAAAAAATGAATTTTATTTTCAACTAAATATTAGTTTTTTATGTGCTTCACGTGATTTTGTGTTTTGTCCAATTCACTCTTATCTTATCTAATCAAATACTTGACTTTTATGTCACCGCAAACCAAAATGAGTGGGAATTTCTCGACTTCTTGGCCCTCGGTGGTATCAGATTTTCGGCTCAAATGAAACTCCGCGTTAATTAAAGTTACTTGTCGAGGTGTGGTTCCACAATTTGACGGCGCCTTTGTTTTAATTAAGTCCCGTCTAAACAAATGGGCCGCTTGCTCTGCACGAAACACGCCGTGCGAGAGTGTATTACCCGCACATCATTCCGCACACACACATGCACTGTGCGAACATGCTGTGCGGATTTCGCCATCCTCGCACACGTGATTGCACATACGTGCTGACGATTTAATTCAGTTAGTGCAGCAAATAACTCTCATACATAAATAATCGCATTTGCGCTTTTGCCTGTCTGCGTCGCGCTCTCTGGCGAGCACATTTATATTGTGTTATAGAGCAAGCCGGGTTAATTCCATGGTAAAGTTTGTCGAATTTGCACGCTGTGTCGTTTTGTTTAATCAAATATGGACGTGTGTCTGTTTTGCATGAGTGATTGCCGCGCGAATCACAGTTTTTCGCCCGTGGGATGCATCGTGATCTCGTGCACCTGAGTAAAAAAAAAGAATCAGTAGAGAAAAATTAAGGTCGGTGGTAAAAAAAAAAAAAAAATACCTGCACGTGGGGTGGAGTTCCGAGGGCGTAGAGCACGGCGTTGGCCACGTCCACGGACTCCAAGTTGACGCTGAGTTTGTATCCCAGTTCGACCATTTCCTTTGGCACGCCGGCCGCCAAACCGATTTCCGTTTTCACAGCACCAGGACTCACACTCTAATGAGCAAATTATAATTTTACTGCTGATTATTTTTGCCTATTATTAAATTTCATTTCATAGTTTATAATGAGAAAGTTTAAAACAAAAAATATGTATGTATTAAAAAACGACACGACGCTTCCAAATTAAAAAAAAACCTAATTATAATATTCAATATTATCTTTCAAATTCACTTAATTGTAAAATTTTATTCTTTTTTTGGCTCAATAATATTTTGATATTTTCTGTGCCTCTTTTAGCAAATAGTAATTCTTAACAATCAAGAAAACTTTTAAAAAAAATCCGCATTTTGAAATGTGCATGGGTAAGTGTACAGCTGCCCCAGCCAGTGTGTGGCAAATTTTTAAATTTTTACAAAGGTTCATTGTCTGTGAATAAACCAGTTTTCAGCTTTTAATTGTATTAGTTTGACTTTCAATTTTTGGACTTTCTGGATTCCGAACAAATACAGCGAATGTTCAGAATGTTGTTTAAATCAGATTTCTCTACTTGAATAAAACTTAATGTCCCCCAGTTAAAAGATCATCTTTCGTGCTTAAAAATGAATAGAATCACTTGAGAGGGATTTTAATTAATTTTTATCTATTGTTTTGTTAAACAATAAATAAAGAATGATACATTAAAACTTATTATGAACACAATAATAAAATTAATAATATATTACTAAAAAAAAAATAAAGAAAAGCTCATAAACGTTAAAATTTAATACATTTTTAAGTAAAAGATACAAAATTTAAATATTACTTTTACTTTTTTAAATTTGAACTAATTTCGCGCTTGTAAATAATTATGTTTCTGTCTTAATACTTGCCGTTACTCTAATTTTCGTTCCCATGTCACGCAGCTCCCTTCGCAGCCCCTCGGTGACCACCCTCAAAGCATGTTTTCCAGCTGCGTACACATAAGTGCCTGGGAAATTTAATATGGCCTGACCTGCCGTGCTGTATTCCGACGAAAAGAAAATTCAAACTAAATTTCTCTTATTTTAAATGATGTATCAAACCTGTTGATGAAGAAAATGTGTCCATCGTTGACACCCCTTTCCTTCATGTCCTGCACCACCTCCCTCATGAAAACGCACGCGCCCACCAAGTTGGTGTCCAAAACCTTTTTCAAATCCTCCGTTGAAACCTCTACATTGATAATAATAAAAATTTAATGCTTATTTTGATATAATTTTAGCAAGCACCAGTTAAACCGCCAAAAGCCACAACCCCCGCGTTGCTGACCAGAACGTCGGTGCCCCCGAGCGTTTCTCTGGTCCATTGAACGGCACGTTTCACGTCCTCCTCACTTCTTACGTCGCCAGCAAATGCATGAAGTTCTCCTTTGCAGCCTGCGGTTTTCAGCTGGTCTGCTAATTCCTTGAAATAACCATGAAAAAAATTACAAGATAGATTGTTTTTATCCTACTGGGAGTTTCAAAACTTTCTGCTTCTTTCAGATCACACTTTCTGAATTGAATAAATTAATTATTATAATATTTTATAATTTTGCCCACAATTGAACAAAAATAATCATATAACCATAAAAAAAGAAAGCTACAATCTTGTTACAAATTAAAAATTGCTGGAAAATCCGGCTAACAGCTTTAAAAAATCTTATTATAATTTAATTTTACAACTTTTGCCAGCTGCCAACCACCAATTTCGTCATTAATTAACTAATTTTAATCAATAAAATAAATTTTTTTTACAAAATAATAAGATAACTTTTAATTTGCTCCAAAATATTCAGCCTGAATTATTATAATTTATTAAATTTTAAGACAATTTCAACACATGTTAGTATCAGAAGGTGAAACTCTTGCGAAGAAAATTGAAATTAGTGTAGAGAACGTGCAATTTAATAAGCCACTTAGCCCGCAAGATAAAACTGAGAGCGGCGGATTTGAATTATACGGAGGCGCGCCGAGGCAAACTTATATATTCTCTGCCGCCACTTTTGTTATTTAATTAAAACGAGCCTAGCTCTCTCGTGAGCTTTACCTCGACTCTCTCTTTCCTGCGCGCAAATCCAACAACTTTCATGCCACTTTCTGCCAAAAGTTTCGCAATTGCCGCCCCGATGCCGGCGCTCGCCCCAGTCACAATCGCCACGCGTCCCTGCCACCGCTCCATCTCAATTACTAATGAGCCGCGCAGATAAAAACCAGACCGCCCGCCGGCTAATCGCTAATTACGCTTATCAAAGTGATGTGGAATGGCATGGTCATCTATTTAGTTTGCTCTCGTGTAATTATCTGTTTGCCGATTGATAAAAAACCAAACATGAACAGCACAGCCACAGGCAACCGCGTGAATAATTTAAAACAGTTTGCAAATTAGAATTTCTTATTTGCTTTTTAATTTACCACGAATTTATTCACCAATTTATTTAAAAATCAACAAAATAAACAAAATAAAAAACTTCTTAAAAAGGACTTTGAAGTTGGACGAAGAAAAATATTGATTAAAATTTTGCATTTTTGAAGGCCAAATTTTAAATTTAAATAAACTAAATTTTATTAAATCGATGAAAAGTGATAAAAAAAAAACCTGTCAGGAAGAGGAATTATACATTAATAATAAATTATATTTATATAAAAAAGTTTTTATTCAAATCACTTCATATTTCAGTTTATTTGCAGCAGCTTTTTTATATCAGCAATCGTTGCGTTGCTATTTTACAAAATTATAAATATCACTAACCAGCCGTTTATGGGCCAACATGTTTTTATTTAGCTTCTCTATAATGTTGTTTTGTGCCATCGATCTCAAGGCCGATTCGGTGGTTTTGCATTTTGGCTCGAACGACTCCACCCCTATGGAAAATTAACTGTGTGTAGTGAAAAACCTTCGTAAAAAAGTCCGCGCTCATCGAATATTTCATGGCGTTTCCAATGCGAATAAAATCAACAAAAAGAGCACACAAAAGGTTGCATGTCGCGGCTCCATAAAGTTTCCTCTGCTCCGAATCGCACGAAAATCCATCGCAATAACTCGCATCATCAGGGTAATACAGAGGCGAGCTTTTGCTTTCGACTGCAATTACACCTGTGCGCGCCATGTGTGCGTAGTACTTCGGTTCATTACCAAGTTATTCATCGGCCGCGCAATAACGAGTGCCATTCAGTTTTATTCCACCCTCGATTATAAAATAAAAAGTGAAACCCTCCCTGGTGGAGAAAGAAAGTTTGATCTGCCGCTATGGGGTCATGTTTTTGTTTGGCGAGGAGATTATCGCATGGCACGGCCAGTTACAAACAAAAATCGGTGAAACTCGCTGCGTAACCCACGCTATACCATTCAACCCTTTTAAGTCCACTTCAAATACATAACGCACTCCCAACTTGAATGCACATAATTTCTATATTGTTAAATTTAGGCGTAATTATATTTTTAAAATATAAAAAAAAAAAATAAGTTTTTTATAAAAAAAATGTTAATTTTATTTTAATTGTATTATTTTAAAATTTTTTAGTGTTTATTGTATTTATATTATTTCCTTAAATAATTTAAATTGGTTGTTATAAATTTTGCAATAACATATTTTATATTTAAAGGTTATAAATTGTACAATAATAATTTTAAACTTCCAAAAATTACTGCGATAGTGGTTTTTATATATTATCCGAGCCACAGCATTGAAGTCAATGTTGAGTATCATGAAATAATTTTAAACTATCTTGAGTCTCTTCATATGATTGTCCCGTTATAAATGCTTCATAATATATAAACTAATATTAACACAAATTAAAAGTAAATTGCATAAATTACAAACATTTGCATTATTCTGAAAATATAATTATGAATACCTTCATTAAATTACGAAAAACTTAAAAATGTTTAAAAATTAAGGTTTAATTAATGGCTGCACTGCATTTTAATTCTAACCAGTGGTGACTTGGAAGTTTGCCGAATAATTTCGCTCGCAAATCGCCCAATGTGGACGTGTTCAAAGGGCGCGCTGGCAAATATTTGCCGCGCTGAATTGTTTGCATGCCAAAAGTTATTAAGCTGTTTAATGGAGGATGTGCGGGGGTAATAACGTCCGCGTTATGATTACGAGCTCTACTTGAAATAAACGCAGTCGTATACGAAGCAAAATTGAAATCTGCCACTGCTCTGCTCCCGATGGCGAGTTTTATTGCTTTCGAAGAAGCAACAGAGAGAGCTCGGTTTTTCTCCAGAGGCGCCTAGGCCAAAAATAAAAATCAAAACAACATAATATTCTGGTCGATTTTTGACGCTTAAAGCGGCGCTGTCGCTGGCCCGTTTTATGGAAAATTCGCCGTAACTGGGCCATCACTAGGCTCAATCGGGGACGTCGTCCTTTTTGTACCAATCGCTGCTCCTTGTCTTTAAGTTTTAAACTCGCGGCACGGACGAATGAAATATCACGATCGATGAAACGTCTTGTATGAGCTTTTGAACAGACTGTAGTGCAAGGAAAATATTATAGACATAAAACGGTCGTTTTTTTGTCTTGGCGCAGCGAAAAAATGGAGCGCACACATGAAATCATTGCCGACTTATTCCGAGGGGTGTTTAAATATTGCATTCAAACAAGAGCTGAAAGAAGTCGCGCTTGACATGGAAATTTGTGTGACAGCGAAACGATTTGGGTGAATTACAACAGCAGTAAACAACACAATACACGCGCACAAAAATTGACTTTTATTCATTCTCTGTGCAGTCAATTCAGATTATGAATGTTTTTTGTAATGTCATGTTTTAATAAATAAAAATAAAAATTCGTACTTTTTACATGATGAAATATTGTTGAGTTTTTTTCACAATTTTTGTTTATCATAATAAATAAAAAACAATTTTTTTTTGGGTAATCTTCAAAAATTTCTCTTGGAGTTGGTATTGAAAAAAAATTTTATGTGTTGCAATCGTTGAGTTAGAAGTAGGGAAAAGTCTGTCGCTCACTCATAGTCAGTTGGCCTTGTAACCTCAAAACTACAGCGCCGGTTTTCGCTTGTCATCCGTTCAATGTAAAAAGGAAATGAGCATTCGTGCTAGAACTGTTGGCTGATTGGCATAATGGAGCAACTCGCACGTCTTTCCCCATTCCTGCTGCACTCATTTTTATATCAGATGGATTTTTCCGATTTCTGGCCGATTTAGTTGCCTGATGCGAAACAGGAAATAAAACGTAGATTGAATTTTTTCTGGAAAATAGCTCAGTCACGTGCGCACGAGATCAAGTAATGCGACTTTTTATTCAAATCACTCTGCACGATTCTGCTGCTGCTTCAACTCTCGGAACAAAGTTTATCCAATAAAATTACTCGATTCTCTTTTAATTCTCTGTAATTTTTTTTACCACATTCAGTGGAACTTCAGAGTAAGTAAGTGAGCGTGAAAATAAATAATTAAGAAATTGATGATATAATTTCATTCTTCAATATTATATTTTTCTTCAATTTAATGATTTGGAGTTGAATTTTTAAATTTTTGCAGAAAGTATAAAACAGTTTTTAGTTAATTCATGGTTAAATAAAGCTAAATAAATTTTTTTGAAAATAAGGAACGTGAAATATAATTTTTGTTACTGTCTTTTGCAGAAACGGCAATGTCACCGCCACGAACGGTCTCCTCGGCACGTCCCAGCCTTTCCCGCCAAGCCTCCGAAACTGCCGAGGCCCCTGCCCCCGTGCGGAGGCCGTTGCTGCGGAGGCAGCGTTCGGCCGACGACGACAGGCCGATCACCCAACTGCTGCATTCGGCGCTCAAAGTCACGGCCAGCGCCCTCGGACCGGGCATTCTCGCCGACCAGTCGCCTCCACCGCCCCCGAAACCCTCCAAAGGTGGCCCTTTGAGGCCCGTCAGGGTCGCGTGGGCCGAGCTGAGGGGCAGAGAACCGCCCCTGCAGAGCCCCAAGTCCCCGACGTGCCTGCCCGCCCTCGCCAGGGCCAACATCGACATCTTCCTCGCGCACTCGGGTCTGGCCCAGTGCCTCGCCAACATCGACCTGGGCCGCCAGTCGCCCAAACCCGTCGAGCCCATGAAGGTCAGTCCTCGGGAGGCGCCCATCAAGGCTGCGTTGACGCCAATTCCCAGGACGCCGACCTTGGCTACCTCCAGAAGGGTCAACTTCAAAAGTGCCAGCAAAACCGTGAACAGGAGTTTCAACAATGAGTCGCCCGAGCCGCAGAAACTGACGGTCCCTTTTACCGAGCCCAGAAATGCGCGAATTCTCTCAGCACCTGCCCACAGGTTGGATTACAAATAAATAAAAGTTTGAATTTTTTTGTTCACTGTTGTTCTATTTAAAATTTTAGAACAGCTCCAATTTTGACACCGCCGAGGCCTATGTTAAGATCTTTGCCCCGTCGAAGCCCGTTGAATTCTTCGTTTGAAAGCGAAACTTCTACTGACACTAGGACCAAATCAGCAACTTCAAAAAGACGTTTAAAATCTGCTGGTAAAATTTATAGTTTATAATTGTTCAGAGTATCATTTTTACAGATTTGTTTAGTAGAATTTAAAATCAAATTTACTTCTATTTGGGCATCATTTAAAAAAAAATATTTTGTTAAATTGTTAAAAAAAATCAACAGTAATTATTTATGACAGTCTCAATAATCGTTCAGTTGATAAAAAATTATTTTGACTTATCTAAATAATAATAATACTAAATAATAAATGGCGTTTCACACCAATCAAAATTTTGCACGTACAAAACAATCTTTAATTTTAATTCATTTCATTTTTCTCGGAACAATATGTTTAGGTATATAGCACCACAAGATAACAAACATCTTAGATAACTAATGTATTAATAACTTTTGGTTTTGCCTCAAGTTTTAAAACTACAAAAACCTTTAAAGAAATTGAGATCTCAATGTGTATCATAAAATTAAAGTTAAATTAAATAAAACAATAATATTTATTTGTATTTATCTAAACTTAAACAAAAAATAGGATAAATTATTTTCATTACTGGGTAAAAAATAATTTTTTTAATAAAATAATTACTATTAATAATAGTTTATTAAATTATTTAATCTCTTGGCACAATGTGTACTATCTATGCAACTATTTGGTCGTGGCTGTCGTGCAGGTTGCATAATTAATCCTCATCGTGCCGTTTTCCAGGACGCAGCAGTGGTCGACGCAGCGGCGGTTTGCGAAAGGGCGACGACACCTCCGACGACGACGCGTGCGAGGAATCGCCAAGCGCCCTTGCCCAGCACGCGAGACCCCTCGTCCTCGGGGTCACGCCGCCTCCAAAGGTGGGCAGACGTGGTCTGCAGTTCGGGGCGGAAATCGTGACCATGGTGTCGCTGATCAGCCCCGCGCACAGCAGCGATTCGGAGAGCGAAACTTCACCGGGGGCGCACCAAGTGGTGCCGGTTCCGAGCCTTCCAGAGGCGGCTCCGGCCTGGCAGGACGAAAAGTCGGAGAGGCCGCGAAACCCTCCGCTGGCCATCGTGTGCGCTCGCAAAATCAACAAATCAGGTCAGTTTTAATCGAATTCCATATAGGCGCGCATTTAATTAAGGCAGCGTGCATATTTTAGCGCCCCGCTCTCGCGGCGAATGGCACGCGAGGCGCAGGTGAGAAAAACGAAGCGTGTCATTTCGCGAAAGACACGAGAACAAACGCGACGTTTAATTCTTGCTGTGTGAAATGGATTTTCGTACTTTTTGCCTGCCGCCGACCGGGCCCAGCGTATATTAACACCGGATTTGTCCGCGTTTTTATGACATGTGCCAAAAAACTCGCGCCTTGAATAAATAAAAGCACGGTCAACACGCGCTCCATCATCAGCTCGAGCACCGGATAAAAATTTTATTCATCGCAAAAACAAAACCTATCAAAGCAGCCCACGTATTCGCAGAGGACGAAACTGTTATTATTTGACTTTGTATTTTTATTTTTTTAATGCTCTCTCTTTTTTGCCAATTTCGACACATTTCCACAACAGCTTTTCATTATTTCTCGCGATCAACGTTCAATTCTGCACGCGCCTCTGTTTCTATTTTCAGATTGAACAAGAAATAAAGTCCTAAATAGAATTTTATGCTTCTATTTACACAGCGTCTGTTATTCATGTTTAACGGCAGTCAGAGCGATATCTACGGGGGAAATCAATATTAGGGCAATTTATGGTTGCAGACGGGGAAATATAAAAAAGTTTTGTAATAGCATAGTTCAACTTTTCTGCTGGTAGTTCATTCGCGAGACTTCCTGTTCGACTGCCGCAATTATTTTTCACCCAAATGCGAATTTCAGCACCGGGCCTTTGACCTCTACGGTCGTATATATTTCTTATGACAAATGGCCGTGTTTTTTATCCACTGCAGCAACTTTTTCCCCTCTTCGTTGTGTTCACAAAATTCTGAAGGAGCCACTTCTTTAGTCTCGTTCCAGTCTCGAAGCAGTTTACCTGAGCTCTTGAGGCGGGCGTCCATTCAGCTGGTGACGCCGCCGACGAAAAGCGAGAAGGAAGAAGAGGGCCGCGCAAAAGAAGCCGATGAAGCTGCGATCAGCAAAAAGCCGGTCGAAGCGTCAATTACCGCTGCGGGCAACAAGGAAGCCACTAAAGTCGAAATACCTACGGCGCCTCCAGCCAACGGAATAATGAAAGCGCCCAAACGCAAAGTGGTCCGGGCCAAAAGTCTCTCGCGACAGAATTCCAAAAAGTATATATAATAAATTAATTATCTTTTAAAGGATGTGTTTTTCTTATTTGCAATTTTTTTAGCGAGAGCACCGAAACTTCAAAAGAGACATCTGTTGACTCACAAAGCTCAAATTCAATCGACAGTGTCATCAAAAAAGAGCCCGACAAGCCCAAAGAAGTCGTCACAACTTATTATACGGCTCCTGTGTCAATCTTGAAAGCTCCAAAAGCGCCGCTGGCCAGCGCCGAGGAAATAGATCCGACCTTAATTGAAGGGAGCCCAAAGTTTGAAAGTCCCAAAGAGCAAGAGTGCTGGCACTTGTATCGCAAAATGTGCGAAAAAGGACTCACAGTCTCTTTTGATACTGTCCTCAGGTAAAAAGTTTTACCTAAAAAAATATTGATTGTTTAAACAAAAAATTCGTTTCAGGGGAATGCTCACACCAACCGAATACCGACTCAGAAAGAGTGCTCTTCTTTCTTCGTGCTGAAGTACTAAAATGTTAATTATTTGAGATTTAAATTTGTATTTATAGGTATTTTATTGTTTTGGTTGAGAGTAAAATGAAATTCCCTGTTTGGCCGTTAACCACGTTTATTTCAGCAATCTGGAATGCTTAAATAAAATACAGGATATTTCAAGCAAACAGTGATTTTACTGTTTTTCTTCGATTCTTACACACTTTGCTAATTTGTTACCACACCAAGATGTTTTGAGTGATCCGAGATTTTCATTTTTTAATGATGTTGAAGGGCATGCCACTTGACTTTGAGATAATCACGAACTGTTATGTAGAAAATATCAAAATTTATTGGCAAAAAGATCGTCTAGCGCATATATAAGTACAAAAGTTAAAAAATAGCATTGATATCAATGATTGATGGTAGATGTTGTGTGAAATTGAGAGTCCCTCATTTGTCATGAAGTTTCCATTGTCACGACAGGTACAACAGACATTTCATCACACTCATGGGCTGATGACTTTTAAATTTAGTTGTCGTCATCATCATCGTCGTCGTCGTCATCATCATCATCATCGTCGTCGTCGTCGTCTTCATCATCATCCTCATCGTCGTCATCGTCATCATCATCGTCGTCATCATCATCATCATCGTCGTCGTCGTCATCATCATCGTCGTCCGCAGATCTCTTCTTGCGGTCATCATCATCGTCATCGTCGTCATCATCATCATCATCGTCATCTTGTAATTAACAATTATAGAAAAATTAAATTTATAATACTCGTAAAGAAATACTTCATTTTAAATTAACATTTATATTTCAAGTTTTATTAATTATGATTCATAAATATAAGTTTATTTTTTATCAAGACTACTTTTCTTCATCCAGTAAAGATATATATCCAATTTTATTACATAAAAATTGTGAACAAAATATTACTAAACTATAATTAAAAAAAATCTTCCATCCAGCTCCAGAAAATGTGGTATTTTTCATTGCTCAAGGCAATTCTAGATTTAAATGATCACCAGTTTGATTGCTTTAAAAATTTTTCAGTTTTTACTGGTTTTTAAAAGTTGATATTTTAAAATAATCAAGCAGAGACAGTTTATTAATTGTGTTTGCATGATAATATAAATTATATAAAGTAATTATTAATTTTCTTTTTTTTTTTTGCAAGATGAACTTTTTTTTGGAACTATTTATGTAAGCTTTATTGTTTTTTCTAAAAACAAAATTTTGGTTGCTTTTTCAATAATATTGTTGATTTTTCACCATTATTATTTTAATTCACTGACCTTGAAACACAGATTTAAGCTATTTAGAAAACATCCAGTAAAAGATAAGCTTAAATAAATTCCAGCAGTAGATTTAAATTTTTATAAAACTACCACCTAGGCCAGTTAGAAATTTTCAATTCTCACCATCATCATCGTCGTCGTCGTCATCATCGTCGTCGTCCCCGTCATCATCGTCGTCATCATCATCATCGTCGTCGTCGTCATCATCATCATCACCATCATCCTGAATATAAATATTTATTAAAAATTATTGATAGAAAAATAGAAAGAGAAAATAATTATATTACTCGGAAAGAATTTTTTTATTAATATTAAAATTGATATATGCATTATTAGTAAATTTAAAACCACGAAAATATTCATATGAATTAAGAAACAAATTGGATCCTCCATTGTATGATGTGTATCCATAATCAATAATGGACTTACGTCGTCGTCATCATCATCGTCGTCGTCGTCGTCCACCACTACGTTCTTCCTGGACTTCTCATTTGTTATCTTGGCCTTGGCTTGTGCGCTCTCAATGACAGTCGAGCCCACCAAAAGGCAGATCAGCAGAAGGGCTAATGTCTCTATGCACTTAGCCATCTGCAAGAAAACATTTCACCAGTCAATGAACCGCTTTTCATTAATTTTCCTTTGTTTATTTGGAGAGCAACATTTTGGGGTCTATTAATAATTTATTTAAGGGCACTCTGAGGTCGGCGAACGTGGTTTCTGTTTTAAGAAAGTGGCCGTGCTCGCGAAACACAAGAGGCTCTTTTTCTTAAGGCGCAGCGGCTATTTTCATCTGCTGTCTGATTTGCATGGGGGCGAATCGCGATCCCACGGCACCACGAAAAAAAAACACATTTTATTATAAAAGTTTATTATTTTTCTCCCTCTCTATCTGCGGAAACGCGGCGAGAAGGAAGGGCGCTGCCTTGCTGAAATTATAATTGCGCCACGCGCCGCCAAAAGGAGTTGCGCTAATTAGGAAATGGCCCGAGAACGGAAAAGAGGCCCCTGTCGATCCAATCAATCGCAAGTAGGGACCAACAAGGATCAGGACCGAGAGAGAGAAACGAGACAGCCTTGCCAGCACAGCAACTCGAGAGCTAATTCAAGAGCGGTTTGCTCTCCGACAACGCAAGTGGCTCTGCTCTCAAGACCATATTGGCATGAATGAATTTAGAGAGGCGCCCGACAGATCAAAGAAGATACATCTTTCTTTGAGACTAAAATAAATTGAAGCATCGACCAATTGTTGGGCTACTTGAACTCAAAAATTATATGTTGTCATTTGACCATTGGAAAACTCGGAAGAAACTAACCACAAATCTTGCATCTTTTTGTGGTATTGGTTTCTGACGAGAGTACAACTGGCAAGTTGCCACGCCAGAAATGTTCCAAAACCAATAAACCGTTGTACAGAAATAATTAATAAAGAGAAACTTTTTTTTAGCTTCTTTTTAGTCAGTAAAATATTAAATGTTTCTACCTGTTTCAAGAACACAACTGTATATGACATTAATTCTATTGAAAATAATATAAGGTAAGAATGTGAATTTTATATGAAGAAAAATAATATTTAAGTACAAATCAACAGAACTAAGCAAGTTTCTAAATGTATTGAGCATTCGCAAATTTTATTTATAACAATTTTAATCATAAAAATTTAATTATTATTTAAAAAAAAATAGGAAAAATGGAAACAGAAAATAATGAAGTTGATAAATATTTATTAGATTTATTTTATTTTATAAAACTTAAATTACTTTTTGACTGAAAAATTATTTTAATGACTATATTGACATGTGTCAAAATATTTACTAGTTTTCTTATTATATATATTTTTAACAGTTTCAGCCACACAAAAAAATGAAGTATTTGAAGGAAAAGTATCTTCACGCACGGGATTTGCTCTATTCTCAGGAATAAGCTCGTTTAATCCAATTATTCCGCATTTCAATTGGCAATCAAGTGTCGCGGTAGGCGCTGTGAAGTGCAAATAATTGTTCGCGGAGCTCATCAAAGCCGTGTTTGCGCCTAGCAATTGTCGTAAAACGCTCGCCTCAGTCCTCGGTCATGGGGCAATTAATTAAACTCGTGCTGACGAGCGCGATCCGCCGATTTTTTCACAAACTTTTTTTAGCGACCAAGGAGACTATAGGTGTTGGAAGCGTGCCACGGACGCGTCAAGAAAAGTGAACGCGGCCGCCGCACACCTGTGCCAGACATCCAGACCAGTGTCGCTCCAAACAATAGTAAAGAAAAAAAAGAGACGTGCAAATAAATACTCCGTTGCTCAACCAGAGTTGTATATTTTTCACCTGGCGACGAGTGACGTTCTCTTAAACGACGCATTAAATCGCGACTCACGAATTTAAATTGCAGGAGAAACCAATTTCTGAGAAAGTTGCGAAATGCAAAAAAGACTGTCGAGAGAGGCTTTTTAAGATTCGTGCAGCGCGCAGATATAATCCATGTGGATAAGCCGGACTGTTTAAATTTAGCAGAGCATCGGTCTTCTCAAAACACACGAGTTTGTGACTGCAGTGCCAGAAGTGTGGGCACGCGTGGGAGCTCCCACATAGTGTAAATTTAATTTTCAACAAGACAAAAAAAAGCAGTAATAAACAATTTATTAATTTTTTTTCTAAACCTAGATGGGAATGAAATACAATTTGGAATAATTAATCAAAATGTGACAAGAATAAAAATTATATGTCAACCGAGGCTTGCTTTTGGCGGATGTGGTCTTTTTCATTTTTTGTTTTAGCAAAATCTTTACTAGTGGTGGCGCCTTTTTGCCCAACAATTTGATGTTTCCCTCTCAGGAATTAATTTTCTTTTGATTTAAAATTTTTGTTTCAATTTGGGCAAATACACAACAATATTATTTAAGTATAGAAAAATTGTGAAATTAAAATTTTCAAACTAAATAATTTAAATTTGGAATTTTCTTTTTAAAAACAATTCATAATTGAATAAGAATTAAAAACATTTTTGAACAATTTCAAGGTATAGAGAATATAGAGAATAGAAGTTGAGGTTTGAAATGATATAGCGTGCACTTACTGCGGCTGTTGGTTGTCAAGTGGTGATCACCCGAAAGACGGCGGTGGCGCGAAGTGTGGTTTTCCGGCAGAACACCAAACTTCCTGGAATCACGTAAAATAGTAGAAGCTGCTCTTGATAGAAAAGGCAGATGAAAAATTTGCGTGTCTGATACCTGAGAGAATCCCAGTAGATCGCTTGGGTAGCTGCGGGCGAGAAGTGCTCCCAGAATACCTCAGCCACCACCACCTCCCCGCCCACCGAACTCCCCTCAGCCGTTTCACCGGACCCAGGAGGATCGCGACTCAGATTTTAGCTCGGACCCCAGTGAAATTGCTCGCTATTATGAGAGGAATTCAAGTTGCAAATTAAATCCGCACACACCACAATGGCCTGCCTTGTGTTGGCAGGGCAGGGCGCGACACGCCGCCGAGGGGTCGTGACGCTGCTGGTCAATTCGCCCCAGTCTTCGCACCACCAACACTATCAAATAATTAGCTCCTCTCTTTTTTGATGCACGGCACACGCGCGAGTAAAAAATTGGCTCGCAAAGAGCAACTCAAATCGAACTGCTCGATTAGTAAAAAAAAAAAAAAAAAAAAAATAAGAAGAGCTGCCAATGATCCTATTGGCACACTTTGTGCAATTAAGTTTGACACGTTTTGACCAACATAAGATCTTTTTATTAATCTAAACTTTTGTGAAATACTTTTAGGTCATCAAACCCTTTTGCAATCTGCGTAGTTAGGGCTCATTTAGACCTGTAATTGCATGGCAGCAACGTTTAATTAGAAGCCGCAAGATAAGGGCAATTGAGAACGTGATGCGTCCTTGGCGTCTGCAAGGCAGATTGGAAAATAGTGAGTGCAATTCAAATGCAAGAGACGGCATTATATTATACAAACGACCCAAGAGGTTGTTTATTAATACTACTTGCATTGTCAGGCAACGACTGTGATTCGGAATAACCCATTTTATTTATACATGCGCAAGTACAATCAAAATTTTGACATCTTACGAAAGTAGCTTAAAAATTAATAAGTGAGACTTAATTTGATCATCAATCTCTGCAATTCATGCCAACACACTTCTTCTTCTTCTTTGATTCGTAAATCAAAACAACAGACTAGAACACCGAGTAAAATTACGCTTTAAAAGTATAGAGTGCACTGGCCTAATGACTACCATTCTTAATCTTTCTAGTTAATCAAGTTTCGAACTTGCTTTCGAGACACATCATGAATATATAAAAGTACAGAATATTTAATTACAGGATTGATATTTCACTGTTGCACAGTGGCTTGTTTGGTATGTGTTGTACTAATTGGCCCTGCAATTAGCAACGTTAAATTTAGCAGCCAAAATTCTTTCCTTTTCAATCACGTTCGAGTAAAATAAAGAATAATGCTTGCAGTCTCTGACTGCTGGTAATGTCAAAAATTTCGGAACAAATTTATGATACAAAATTTTACCTGACTATTATTTGAAATTAACGAACAGGAAGTTTTCGTTGTCTATTTCACCCTAGCTAGTCTGGGCGAGAGTTTGTAGGCTGTTGAGAGAGGTCCTGGTTCATTGGCTGCCCAGCAGACGAACCAGAGGGGATGTGGATTAGCGGCACGTCGTTGCCACTCCACATGGAGTACAGGGGACTTTCCCTCAGTTGCTGTTGTTCCTGGAAAAGATTTGAAAATAACATCAAGATTAGTATAATATTGAAAAATATAATATTGAAAAAAAAAAATACAATATTTAGCTAACATTCAATTATAGTAAAGCCGAGAGTAATTTTAAGAAGAAAAAGAATGAAATTTAAAAGTAAAATATAATACTTTCTCAAATTAAATAAATGCTTGGCAATGGATCCCATTTTTGTATATTATTACATAATAATGTGCTTACTAAAAGCAATTGGTTATGGTGGTAAATCTGATGCTGTGGAAGCGAGCTTGAAGACGAAGAGTCTGTGGAGGAGCTGGACTTTCTATGATATGGAGTACCATTCCCGTCATTGGGAATAAACATTTCTGATCGGTCTGCTGGTCCGTTTTGGTTTTCACTGTCTTGCTCGCCCCATCTGGGATAAATATTATTAGAATTTTTGAACCAAATAAAATTCAAAGCTTGTTACATGGTCGAATAAAGAGATTCTTGAGGAGTCCAGCCAGACCTGGGTCTTGGTAAGTGTGAGATTCGAGGTGACGTATTGATTCTTATCTGACACATGTTTTGAGATCCAGAATCAACGTTATCGGAGTAAGTGGTGTGAGGCCAATGACCTAAAAAATTATTTTCAATTAATCTTATTTCAAAATATTTAAAATAGAAAAGTTTTGAGACAAAATATGTACTTTACATACCTTGGGGCGATTCTCTCGGGAACAAAGTGGAACTGTTTAGCCAGCCCTCTCTTCCCTCTACCACACCACACCCAGTTAGATTAACACCTCCTGCTGTTATCAAATTGTTAATTTGATATATAATGTTAGGTGCAAATTTTTAATTACCTGGTTTGGCGTTTTGTGGTCCTGGGTTTGCAGGCTTCAAGGAGAGAAGGGAAATGACGTCGTGCAGTTCCTCTTGGCTTGCCAGTGAGGACGAAGTGTCCGGCGTTGTCGAGCGGCTACTCCGTTCTTGTCCCGGGACAGTCAAGTGTTGGTGGTGGTGGCTGGCAACGACCACAGAAGTGCTCTCCCAAGGAACAGACCATCGTCTCACAGTCCCACCCTCTTCGCAATCTTCCTCTCGGTCTGCTGCAGGTCGGCGCGCCACTTCCGACCAACGCCTCTGGCCGCTCAACAGCCGGCTAAAAATTTGGCTCTGACGACCAACGTCACTGCACGGAGACACTTGCTGGGAGTTGTCCTAAATTTGAAATGGAAAATTATCAAAAATTTATATTTATAAAAGAAATGGTCTAACGATTGAACAAAAGAAAGAACAATAAAAAAGCATAAATATTATTCCCAATTAGGATTTAAAAATTAAAGCAAAGTTTAAAAGAGATGATTTTGAAAAAAAAATCTTCAATAAAGAATAATATTTTTGGTTCTAAAGTGCAGTTTAATTGATATGCAAGATTTCTTAAAATTCCCATTTCATTGCTTCAAAATTTCCTTAACATTATTTAAGACAAAAATAAAGAAAAAAATTAAAGAGCTTACAGATGCAATAGATATACAAAAAAATATATTTTACAAGTGGAAATTTATTTCAATTTCAATTATTCAAAATTCAATTGAAACCTCTAAAAATTCACCGTATTTATACCTGTTGTGAAATATTTCCCAGGCACTCGACGCACGCAATGCAAAACTGATATTGAAGGTTAATCATCGTGGCCAGGTTACTTTGAACTATTTGCTGAAAAAATCACAAACGATACATCATTTAAAGCTCTTTAGGTATTTCATTTTATATCAGCCTCACGTCATTTCGGAAGTGGTCCTCGGAAGCCAGCTCCCGAAGACCTGCCATCACTTCTGCCCTGACTGAGTGGCCAGCTGCCTGCGAAGCTCTTGACAGTTCCTCCCATGCATTTCTGCAGTTGCCGGCCGAGTTGCTCAGTTGTTGGTTGGTGGCCAAAACCTGCAGACTGGCCGAAACCCTTGCACCAGCGGCACAAACGCCGGCCAAACTCTGAAAATTTTTATTAATGGTATTAATGGGAATAAGGATGGTTGTAAAAAAATACATTACCTGGAGGTAGAGCATCCAAGCGTTGCTGCACTCGGCCACATCCTGAACTGCCTTTGCGGGCAACTTTTGGGCCAGATTCGGCTCCATCACAAAGATCTACTCTACTTTTCCAGGAATTGACACATCAGCAGCTTACAGCATCCTGACCATACCAAAGATGACCTCTCAGAGGTGGCCACCTGCAAATTAGTAGAGAAATATTATTTAATTTGTATCCAGAAATAATAAATTTTAATTTATAATTTGAATAAAAAAAAAATTGAACATCATTGACGATAGTACAATAATTATTAAATAATTCAAAGCTAAGTGTACTTTTGAGTTTCATTTTTTAAAATAATAGAAGAAAATCAGTCAACTATATGAAAATCGCTTTTTGCTATTATCAAACCGAATCAATACTTCAAGTCATAATTATCATTATTCAAAAAATGATGGGGCTTTATTAATCACAAAATTATGTAGTAATTCAAGGAAATCCCAGCAATTCGCGGGGAAAGGTACTAAAAAAAGTAAAAAAAAAAAAAAACTGTAAAATATGAAAACCCAGCAGCTGAAAAATGCAATAACAATTTTTCAGTGTTCCGTTAGAAAGAAAATCAACGAAGCGTGAGAAAAATTGGTGCAACTAATTCTCTCGAACAATATTTCATCCATTGATCAAAGTCACAGGACTAAAATAGGGCACAATTTCGCAAGTAAATGTCAACGAAAAATGAAAAACAAACCTTCCGATGCTCGTCAATGCTCGCTCTCCGCTTGCTGCTGTGCTTGTAGTACTTTGGAGGGGCGTGCCCAGTTTTCCGCAGTTTCCATCTCTTTGCATGAGATTTTTTGCCCAAAAGCCATCTGGTGGGTGCGTGTGACACTAAAAAACGCAACGCACAATTATTTACCTATGCATTGTTATCGCTGAAATTCGCATTCATGTAACATTTTGCAGATATTAATTTCCGTCTTTTTAAATAATGTATCTATTAATTTGATGCGGTTAACTCATGCACAATTGCACAATGTAATGTAATACATAAAATTAAAAATGTGCTCCTGAAATATCTATAATTATATAGTCTAGATATATCTACAAATAAATAGTTAAATAACAAATCCTATCATGTTTTTTTTATACCAAAAAACACAAATATGCGCAAAGGTCATCACTGTCATCACCTCTAAACTAACAAGTCAAATACAAGAGATAACTCATTTAACACGTCATATATGAATTATTTATTTTTAACGAAGTTTTCATTCATGCTCCTTAACTTATACAATTTTATCGAAATTTAAATTTAAAATTTATTTAAATCAATGCAAATTTGAAAGTAAATTTCTCAGCTTCTGTCTCCTTTGACCTTTCAACGCAAGTGATGAATAAGTTTAATGAGTTAAATTTGTACCTTGTAAGGTTTTTAAAATATAAAAATTAAAACAAATTTGAAGATTTTAAGTTATTTGAAAAAATAAAATAGACTCAATAATTTAAATGCTACACGATCTGGACCATTAAAATATTTTGTTGGTGTAAATTTAAATTTAATTTTTTTTTTCATGAGACGTGCAATCCAGGGAGAAAAAAAAATCAATTATATTGTCAAAATTGTATTTGAAGGTGAGGAAAAATAAACGTTTCAAAAAATTAAAAATCCAGATTTAATTTTTATGGAATTTTAAGTCTTTCAGGATAATAATTCAATATTAATACAGTAATTATATCAATAAAAAAAATACAATGCAATAGATGCGTTTTTCTGTATTTAACTTATCAAATAAATTAATTTATTTATTTGCAATTTGCAATATTTAAGTCCACACTTAAATTTATATAAAGTTTAGAAACTTCTTAAAAGTTAAGTGAAGTCAATATAACGATATCTGTTATTTTCACAAAGACGTTAGGATTTAAAAATCAATGATTTTATCTTTTCTAAAACATTAGTCATGTAACAAATATTGAAGATAAAAATGATGAAACTTGCGGAAACTTGTAACACATTAGCCATTGACTAATGCATTTCTTGCTACTTACTAATGCGTCTCTCATTATCTATATCAGTAATTTAAAAGACGATAACACAATCAATCATCAATAATGCTGATGAGCAAAAGAAATATTATACAAAAGCGCGTGTCGTGGTCAATGCGAATGCCAGGTCGTCGCCACTTTCGAGTTTGCCGCCAAAACGATTGCTGAGGTGAGCGACGAGGTGCGCAGCAGCAAAACTCGAGTAAAAATGGCTGCTCGCAGAGGGGGAAAGGAGATTTTACGAGCTGTCTGATCCACATCGTGGCGGCGCCAGACCCCATTTCAGCCAACAATTTTTCGTTTCGGTGAGCATCCAGCTCGATTTGGCCCCAAAGCCACTCGCAATACCGTGCTCCGTTAAATTCGGCGGCGCCCTGAAAGGGTTTTGGCCGTCCCGAGCCGAGAATTCGCAAGAAAACAGCCTCGCAAAACGGCCCTGCGCCGCCGGCTTGCCGTCAGCGATGGCGGCCCGTGCCGTCAAATTCGTCTTATTTTCGCAGTTTGCGTCCTAATTTGGTCTAGGAACGGGCGAAACTCGTGCGAACTGTGAATTTTGAAATTCGCAGGTTTGAATATTTGTCGCGAATTCCGTCTCTCGGCCGTGGAATCTTGGAAACCACACCCTGCAAATTCAGTTGGCCTCGTAAGGTGCACTCCGCTTGTATATTTATTCAAAATTTGAATTTTAATTCGCATTTGCTGTTTATGTTCGCTCGCGATTTTTAAATATTTGCTGAAATTATTCAAATCGACTTAATTTCAAATTTCGCTTGTTCCGCCTGCTCGCGAAAATAGGCCACTCGCGGGACCAAAACAAACATGTGATTCAAGGCCTATCGATTTTCGCAGGCTATTGTAATTCGATTTCGTCCTAATTCGATCGCATTCGCGTTTTCGAAACTCCCGGTTTACTATGGCTTTCAATGATCATGTTTTTGTTCCTCCACCTTTCAGCGTGGTGCTTGGCAAGGGCCCGTAGCAAGCCTGTGAGTGCGGCAGGTGTCCACGGCGTCCAGAGGTATCTGCACGCTAGCCCTACTTCCCTGGGACTTGCCGTCCGCGAACCCACCTTTTTCCGACCAGCAATGGCGCTGCCAAGTAGGGCGAGGGTCTATGCAGACGTCAACAACCACAAGCCGAGGGAGTATTGGGACTACGAAAGCTACGTGGTCGATTGGGGGTGAATATCAGTTTGGAAATTTTTGGAATTTTTTAATTAATCCTATTATCCTCACAGGGTGCAAGACGACTTCCAAGTAGTGAGAAAACTAGGTCGTGGAAAGTACTCAGAAGTTTTCGAGGCCATTAACATAACAAACAATGAAAAGTGTGTCGTCAAAATTTTAAAGGTTTGTTGAATTATCGAGAGATTAACATGAAGAACTAATTCAAAATCTCGCTCTGCAGCCAGTCAAAAAGAAGAAGATCAAACGAGAAATAAAGATCTTGGAAAACCTGAGGGGAGGCACCAACATAATTTCATTGCAGGCGGTAGTCAAAGATCCAGTCTCGAGAACGCCAGCTCTTATATTCGAGCATGTCAACAACACCGATTTCAAGGCACTCTACCAGACTCTCACAGACTTTGACATTCGCTACTACCTCTACGAACTTCTAAAGGTAATATCGGAGCAAAATTCTTACAAATATTAGTTTTGGATTTAAAATTTGAAAAGCAATTGAAAAAAATTTCTTTAGATTTTTTTACCAGAACAAACAAATGAAAAGTGCCTTAATGCTTAGTTGCAACCAGAAATGTTTTATTTTTCAGCATTGGCACAATAACGAGTCTGTTTAAATCGGAATCTTTTAGCCGGGATTAAAACGTTCGAATTCACACATCTCAGTAAATTCTAATCAAAATCATTTTTTTCTTCCGACAGGCTCTGGACTACTGCCACTCAATGGGCGTGATGCACCGTGACGTCAAGCCTCACAACGTGATGATAGACCACGAAGCTCGCAAGCTCCGACTGATTGATTGGGGCTTGGCCGAGTTCTACCACCCGGGCCAGGAGTACAACGTTCGAGTCGCCTCGCGGTACTTCAAGGGCCCAGAACTGTTAGTTGACTACCAGATGTACGATTATTCATTAGACATGTGGTCCCTGGGATGCATGCTGGCGTCCATGATCTTCCGCAAGGAGCCATTCTTCCACGGCCACGACAATTACGATCAGCTGGTGCGCATTGCCAAAGTGCTGGGCACTGAGGAGTTGTTCGAGTACCTCGACAAGTACCACGTAGAGCTCGACCCCAGGTTCAACGACATTCTTGGCAGGTGGGTTATCATTTATTCAGACGTGGACAGATGTTTTAAACGTGGTGGAATTTCTTGCAGACACTCCAGGAAACGCTGGGAACGATTTGTTCATTCAGAAAACCAGCATCTCGTGTCGCCCGAGGCACTCGACTTCTTGGACAAGCTGCTTCGTTACGACCACCAGGAAAGACTCACAGCCAGGGAAGCCATGGACCACCCTTACTTCTGTAATTTCATTCAAATTGTATTTTATCGTTTGCGTGTTTCTTAACCGAGAAACTTTCAGATCCCATTGTTAAGGATCGAATGCCGATGCACTCAAGTTCGCCTACTCCAATGGCTGGACCAGTGGCCTCGGGAGAGTAAAACTTGTGAGTAGCCTAATGCATTGACTTGACAGGAGCACTAAACTGAACTGTAATTGTGCAGTAACTCGTACCTAAAATTTGCGAAGAACCAGCTGGAGTTGAAGAAACATCTTTTCTCTATGAACCAAGATGATTGATTCCCTTCATTCTGCTTGTCAAGGCATTTTTGTTTCAATCCAACCAATCAACCAGAGATAGACGGCTGCGTTTTAATACAGAGAAATGGCAAAAGACTGGCACTGATTCTGCTTCTAAGAGTGTGGTTTCTCCACTCGACACAGACACCTAATTATTAATTCAAAAATAGTGCCTGTGCCGAGTGGACATAGTGAGACTCTCAGTCCGAGACTCGAGTGAAACTTAAGTGTGCATTCAAATGCATCAGTCCCAGATGATGTTTGTTCCAAGGCCAATATCCATCATAGAGAAGCATCAGCCTCATTGGGCTTCGAATTTCGTTCGGTCAGGAGTCCATACGCATTATATCTTGGAAAAATGAACTCTTACAAAAAAAGTCAAATTTGACATGTTATTATTGTACTTGCAATGATACTAATTCAATTACCTCCCTATTTATCTTGAGCACTGTTGAAAAATTGCTTTGTTTGTATGGAAAAATCTTGTAATGTGCTAGTAATTACGAATCATAAACGAGGAAAACTTGATTAAAAATACAAAACAGTTAAGTGTATTGAGGAATTTAAATTTTTTTATTTTTGGTTGTACGTAACACTCATTTTAACAAACCTTGATCCAGCATCATGGGGAAAGATTGTGTTACTTGTACAATATTATCTTTCTTTTATTAAATTAAGGCATAATAATACAACCTCCCGTTTCATTGATTCCACACAAAACAATATGCTAATTTTTGTGCATTTACAATTGGAATTGAGCCGGGAATCGGATGGCATGATTCGGAGCATATTCAGAAGTGATGAAGTCGTCACCTCTGGGTTTCTTGCCAATCCAGCCAGTGATGACTCTGTACTCGATACCATAGCCAAGGTCCACCTCTTCAGCATCAAAATTGACAGAGTCACCACAGTCAATGTATCTTTTAAGAGAAAAGCGTTAAATTTTTATAAATTTATGGTTATTAAAAATCATACCTGCTGATGTCATGACGATTAGTGCACAGCTTTTCGTCAACATAAAGTCGACACCTTTCAAGAGCAGCAAATTCTGTATCGCCTCCAATGCTAAATTTGAGTACAGCAGTGCAGGAATTCACGAATTGTACCACGGATCCAACGTAACCATAGATCTCGCTGTCCTCATCAGTCTCTATTATTTAGAGGATAAAATTAGCAATTCCGTGCAATTCAAGAAAAGTTAACCAGTTTCCTCCTCACTGCAACTTTCATCGGTGTTTTCTCCAGCCGTTTCTGTGCATAAACAAGGGAAAATTAGCTATCATTCAAATTACAGAGCCACTAACCAGATTCCTCCTCACTAAAGTCATCTTCAGAGCAACTTCCATCAGTTTGGTCCGAACTTTCCTCATCAAATATTGGCTTTTGTCCCATCCAAACTAGTTTTACCTTGTACGAAACTTTGTACCTAATTCAATTAAAATAAGTATGAGCAAAATTGATATAGAATTTAAGGCCAAATAGAAAAAAAGGACTTACCCACTGACAAATCCATATTCCTTGTGAGCATCAAAGTGAAACATCTCGTCTTCAATTTGAGATCCATTCCAATCAGACCACAGAGCTCCATCCACATAGAGGTCATCAGCAGAGAAGCATACATATGTTTCAACTCCTGAAACTGAAGTTCTGAGCACGCCCTGCCTGTGACCACCGAAGATGCAACGTCCTGTCCAGCCTTTGAGCACATCCATCTCTCTGCTTAATTATCACTTTCCTGCTGAGTCGTAATACTAAAATTAATATTTGTGTATATATTTCAAATTAATCACCTGCATAAAATAAAATAAATAATGCATGCACTTAAACAATATATTGATAAAATAATATATTTGAAGACTCGTCCACATCGGGCGGGCTGGTGGAAGCTGGCCGCAAAATTTATTAGATTTATTATGTATGGGTCCGCTTCCGTAAACATTTTAAGTGATAATGGATGGGCCCCCTTTCCTTTTATTAAGATTTTTTTATTTACGCACGATAATTCTTATCGGTACCTGTGGTTGTTTTGATTACGTGTGCATGGTAATTAAGATAATTATATAATTGCAAGGAATTTTAGACGGTGTTAATTAAATTCAATTTATATGAGAATTAATATTTTTTTTTTAAATGAGAAGTATTTTGCAACACGCTAAAATTGAAAATTTTAGCATTCTGGGGACGAGAAAGATTAAAATCACCAAATATATACTTATGATTTTCTATGTCAAACAGTAATGAGTCAACACAATTAAGTACACGCACAAAAAAAATTTAATTTACATTCAACGTAACAAGCGTGTGTTTTATTTATCGGACATTAAAGAGAGGAGAGAAGAAGTATAATGCAACATATAGATATAAGAAAAGCGACTTGCTCTCTTATGCACCTGATATTAATTTTTTTTTGAATATGTACGCAATTATAGCAATAATACTTACCAGATGCCAAAATGTTAAAAATTTGCAGGAATATGCTCTGAGATTTCTGGTACAATCACCAAAAACTATCCCACTATAACCTTTTGGACCTTGTACTTGCGATTCGCTCATTCCATACAGGTTTCGACGAATCCGACTTCCAACCCAACAAGAGGAGCAGCTTTCCCTCTGGATTTCAAACGATATCTGCGGCTGCGTGACATTTCCCGCCACCTGGTGAGCAATTTTCAACTAAAATCGACTTCAGAAACAAGAGCAAGAAGAGAGAATAGAAAACGTAAAAGTGAGTGATTATTTACAATTTTTAGCAAATTTTGGGCTTTCGAGGACACTCATTTGTAACGAATTCTAAAATTGAAGAATTCCTTCGCGTGGAGATTAAATTGTATAATCAAATTCCGTGGTAAAATTCAAGTTTTTACCTCTAAAAATTTCTAAACATTTTGCATTCGACGTTAACATTCAATTTTGGTCGTTTTCAGATGGCAATTTTCCACCCGTTTTTGCGGAACCCCGTGTCGGACATCACCGGCTACATGCTGAATGCCCAGCACACCAAGTGCGCAGAGTTTGAAATGCGAATGATGGAGTGTTTCGAGGCTTATGGTGTTGAACGGGGAGGAAAACACCCCCATTGCCAGGCTTTGGCCGCAGACTTCAAAGAATGCCTCACCAACGATAAAGCTGTAATTTTCCCCCAAAGTCTTATTCTTTAAAGCAGCAAAAAATACCTTCTTCTAACTTCCCCTAATCTTGATACTGTGAATATTTAAAAAAAAAAATGCGAATTCACTCGAGCAACTTTAAATTGGATTGTTAATTTAAAATCGTTTGTTCAATTAATTTATAATTGAAAAATGGCCATGGCTTTTATTTTTAGTCAAATCCTGATCAGATTGACCTCTTTCAATCTTTTTTTTCATATGACTAGTCCTGTAATTAATTTAAAAATCAAATTATGTAATTTTTTTATTGATAAAGAAATGCAAAAGATTTTGATTTGATTTTTATTCAATTTTGCAGATGAGGCGTTTTGAGGCTATGTGGTTTGAACGACAGAAGCAATATTATCTGGAGGGCAAACTGAAGGATAAGCACTACGCACCTGCTCCGAAAGCTGATTCTATCTGATCACCCAGAGATGTGAAATTCATTAGGTAGAATATTAATTCACCAAACTTTGTTGCTGTTAGAAATATTGCCGATGTGATTGATAAAGAAAGAATGTATAAAATAGTGTCGGGATTAATACATTAAAAAAAAATTATTAAGAAAATAAGTATTTTCAGTGGTATTTTAATTAATTTTGTAGTTATATTCAATTATATTGCAATTTTTGAAAGTCAAAATTCAAATATCTTTGTTAATTATACTTCTAGTTGAAAAGTTATTTTATAGAGCGGAGCACTTAAAAAGTTTTGCAATTATCTAGATTATTGCATTATATACTTTTTGAATCAGCAACCACTTGAATAAAAACCCTGCAGGCAACTTGTCGGCCAATGTCGAAAATCAGCCAATGAGCGACCGGCTCCTGATTGTTGTCCAATAGGAACGCTGGAATTTCTTTGCTTGTCATCGTACGTCACAGCTGGAGAAGCGGACGCCTTTTTAGGAGCAGTGCAAGATCATTAGCAGCGTTGACCGGCGTGTAGAATTAATTTTTTGCACATTTTTGTATGAAAACGTGAATTCGCGATGGGTTTCTGCAAATCCTTTTTGACAAAATTGTTCGCAATTTTCGTGGTTTTCCTGGCCATCGCGTTTTTACCGGGGCTGCCTCCAGAGATGGAATTTACCCCATACACGTAAGGAGAGACATGAATGAAAAAATTAACTTGTAAAATTATATTTTTAATGTTCATAGACCCTCTGAGCCTTTGGATTTCACTGGACCGCTGGCGCCAAATGACAAATTGAACGGTGCCGAGAGAATTTTTGAGGGGAAAATTCAGAACCCGGAATGTTTGGCTGTTGCAAACGGGACCGTCTACACAAGTTCTAGGGGTGGAGATATCGTCAAGTTGGTTGGAGACAAATTAGTTCCAGTGGCCAATATTGGACACAAATGCGGTAATTTACATGAAAAGAATTAAAAGAGATTGTATCATTAATAAATTTTAATTTATATTCAGAGGGATATTGGGAAGAGAAGAAGTGCGGCCGTACCCTCGGAATGACTTTCGATACCAAGGGCTTTTTGTACGTTGTCGATGCCTATTATGGGATCTACAAAATCAACGTCAATACAGGTATAAAATTTTAAATAGTTTTGTAAATTTTATGAATTATTGTTAACTATTTTCAATTAATTTTATATTTACAAATTCTTTTCCGAAAAATTTGGATCCATTTATTAAAGTAAAGTTACAATACATATTAAAATAACACAATAATTGAAACATCTATTTTTAATTTTTCTCATTATTTTTTTTATTCTTATTTTAAAACTTAATTAATTTTCAACTTCAATTTTAGGAAAAGTTGGACACCTAATTAAGATTGATCAACCAATTTCTGGCAAGACTGTGAAAATTGCAAACAGCGTGGCTGTGGGAAAAGACGGCACCGTCTACTGGACAGCCTCAAGCTGTGATACTTCTTTCGATGATGCTGTACTTACTATGTTAGGAGACGCCACTGGAAGGTAAATCTTGAATTTCTTTATATAGAATATTTTTATTTAGGAATTTGCTAAAATTTCCAGGCTTTTCAAATTTGACCCTGCTTCAAAGACTAACACACTCCTCTTGGACAAAGTCCACTTTGCAAATGGACTGGCACTCTCTCAGAATGAGGATTTTGTTGTCGTGGCTGAAACTGTTCGCACCAGACTAGTGAGGTAATTTATCATTGCTGAAATTTTTTCTTTTAAATTAAAAAAAATATTTCAGGTACTGGCTGAAGGGCCCAAAACAAGGCTCGAGCGAGATTTTCTTTGACAGTCTGCCAGGAATTCCCGACAACATTAAAGTCAACAAGGAAGGAATCTTCGACGTCACTGTTCCCTTGCAAAGGACAAAAACATACCCTCTTCTGTCGGATCTAATTGCCCCGTACCCTCTGATTCGTCGATTCCTGGCTCGAGTTTTCTACCTTATGGAAGTGCCATTCACCCTCATTCAAGACAACTACCCGAACTTCTACTCCGGAATTATTACTCATTTGGTAAAATTAAAGAAATGAGAAATGATATTCAAATATTAAACATTCACTCGGTTTTCCAGATTGGATCTTTTGACCCGCTGTTGCCGTTGTTCCCGAAGGAGGTTCTCGTGTTGCAGTTCGACCAAAACGGCAAGTTGCTGTCAAGTCTGCGCAGCACGGATGATAAGGTGACCCTTATCAGCGATATCATTCTAGCTGGAAACTACTACTACCTTGGCTCACCATTCAACAATTACTTGGGACGCGTCAAGATAGATAAGATTAAGGCTGACTGAAAATGTTACTCGATGATCTTGTTGCCTTAAATAATTTTCTCTCTATTATATCATTATTGTTATGTCTTAAAACTCCACTCTGTTGAAAAATTACGGTAATTTTGCATCTCTCTGTTATATATTGTTTAAAAAAGGTACTTAATTTTAATTTTAAAAACGTAAAAAGTTATTGGGCAAATTGTTGATGAAACTTAAAAAAAAAACGTACAACGAAACCCATTGTATACTCTTCTCAGTGATGTGCTTTTCACAATAAAACCATATTTTTCATAAATTTAATCTTATACGCAATCATAATAATACCCTTTATAGAGTGTTTAAGTCGCGGACATAATTTTTTTTTGTTCAGCACGCGTTCACCTGAGCAATTGTGGTGCGCAGGTGCGCCTCATGATTTCTGCTTGTCACGGCAAAGATTTATTCACTGCGGACTGGAGTTATCACTTTTAGAGACACAACTATCACGTAGCTCCGCAAGTAGTATAAACGTTAATGATTTTTAATCGGTTTATCTCCGTTCTGATTATTGATGAACTTTTGCTCCAGGGGCGAAGAGAACATTTAAACTAAAGAAGATAATATTTTGAAGAAAAACAGCAGAGTGTGTATTTTTTGTGTTGAAGAAAAATGGGTTGCCTTAAAGTAATTTTTGTAAGTTTCGGCATTCTTTTAAGCATAGCGTTATTGCCTGGTCTCCCGCCTGATTTAGAATTCACAGCATTCAAGTTCGTATAAAATATAATATTAAAAATAGAGAAAAGCAATCGCAGATCATTATTTTCTAAGCTATGATATTTTAGAACGACGGAGCCAATGGAGCTGGCAGGGCCAATGGCACCGAATGACCTTCTCAACGGAGCGGAGAGACTTTTTGAAGGAGAGATTGACGCGCCTGAAGGCTTAGCCGTGGCAAATGGAATACTTTATACTGGAAACCGGCAGGGAGATATATTAAAAATTGTTGACGGGAAAATGGTCAAAATCACCAACGTTGCTCACCCTTGCAGTATTGTTTCATCTTAACGTTTCAGATATATTTTTTTAAGAAAAATATTTTTCTAGATGGGTATTGGGAAGACAGAAAATGTGGAAGGGTTGTTGGAATAAATTTTGATTCAAAAGGCTATTTATACGCTGCAGACCCGTACTACGGAATTTACAAAATAAATGTTCAATCAGGTGCGCGCACAATAAAATACTGATGGAGTACATTAAAAAAAATTCTTAATAAGGAAAATTTGAGCATCTTATAAAAACTGACAATCCAATTGCCGACAAAATGGTCAGGGTTGCAAACAGTGTGGTCGTTGCCAAAGATGGAACTATTTATTGGACAGCCTCAATATGCACCAACCCTGGGGTGGATGTTGAAGACGCTGTGGTCGCAATATTTGCAGATGGTAATGGCAGGTACGGCAAATTATTTAACACTGGCGCTACAAAAAAAATTAAATTTATACTACTTTTTTAAAAGGCTCTTCAAATATGACCCAGTGGAAAAAACCAACACAGTTTTGATGGACAAGATTAGCTTTGCCAACGGCCTGGCTCTATCTCCAAATGAAGATTTTGTAATAGTATCTGAGACTGTCCGTTGCAGAATTCTAAGGTTTTTTCCATATAATAATATTAAATTAAAAAATTCAAACGCCAGGATAAAAATATCAATGTTGATTTTAGGTACTGGTTAAAGGGGCCAAATCAGGGCACTGCAGATATTTTTGTGGATGGCTTGCCAGGCGTTCCAGACAACATCCACATTACGAGTGACGGAATTTTTGAAGTTAGCTTGTATAAGCCCAGGAGCAAAGAAAATCCTCTGCCAATTGATGCCCTGGGCCAATACCCGCTAGTCCGGCGCTTCATTACCAGATTGCTCTATTACATCGAGTTTCCATTTCAAAAGTTGCAAGAATTTTATCCGAATATCTACACTGGATTATTAACTCACTGGGTAAAAAAATTGACTGCACTGCGGACAGGAAAATGCAATATTAAATTAAATTACAATTTCAGTTGAACAATTTTGACAAACTGCAGCCCTATCTTCCAAAAGCTTTAATGCTTGTGCGGCTTAGTCAAGACGGGAAAATTATTGAAACTCTGCAGAGTACGGACAAAATTTTAGGCGACATCAGTGACATTGTGTTATTGGATGGCTACTATTATCTCGGCTCCGCTCACAATGAATTTTTAGGGAGGGTCAAGAAAAGAGTCTGACTAATTTGAATATTTTACACACAAATTGATAAAGATAAATGCACCAAATAAAAAGTTGTTATTCCGTTAAATACACTCTCTGTAACTGAAGTGTGGATTTCTTTATTACAGAGTTAATACAATTTGCATGTTTTTTGGGCATCAATCAATCATTCAACATCTATTCCATTTTAGAAGCTGCAGCCACAAGAAGACAGCAAAAGTTGTTAATTAATTATGCACATACATTAAATTCTACTTGCTTTTTCAACAGAAAATGCTTAAAAAAATTATTGGGCGTTTGGGAGTTTAAAAAAAGGTAGAAGGAGAGACTATTTCTAAATATAGAGATAAAAATTTGATGAGTTACACCTTATAGATAATAGTCTTTGCCATTTTATTAACCTTCTACAAAATAGGTAATATTACTAATTTTGCCGCACCATTTCGGTTGAACTCATTGACCAGGTTGAGGCGCCTAATTTTTGCTACTCATTGAGCAAGTGAATTTTCATTCGCGAGGATTAGACAAAAATGCTTTCACCACTTTTGGAATTAATTATTACGTTAGGCTGACCTCCATAAAACAATTGCAGCATAAACAATCAATGGTGTGCAATTGGGACCATGTAATTATCACATTTGGTTTATAAAATACAAAAGCATGAACTAAAACAAAAAAATACAAAACAAAAATTAATTCGTACCTAGGTCAAACAGAAGTGTGAAAAAAATGGTTGCGTTTCAGGCAATGAATTTAACTGGAAGCAGTGGTCAGACGAAGTGACCATTCAGCGAAAGACAGTTTGTCTAGCTAAAACCAATAAAAGAGGGGAGTATTTGGTGGATCAAGGCAAATTAAAGAAATGTTTTGAACCTATGCTAGAAACATTAGAAAAATGTCTAATTGTCTACATTTTGCGCCTATCTCCTGTGTGTGCAAAGATACGGTGCCACAGAATAAAGCAGTGTGGAGTGCGATTAATTAATTTTTGTGACGGCTACAGATTTTTGCTATTTATGTAGGCACGCATGCTCTGTTTCTACGACGTTGACTGCAAGGGCTGAAGGATAAGATATACAAAGCAAATTCTGCAGCTTTATCATATAAGTATTTACAACGCAAAGAGAGAATTCTCTTTGTCATCTTTGTCGAGCTCTCTGGTGGTTCTGCTCTGCGTGTTGGTGCTTCTCAGGTTAGTTGACGCAGCAACTGGTGGAAGATTTTCAGCGGCAGCAGCTCGTTCTGCCAAAAACCGCTCAAATTCACTACTCGTCAGAGACTCGACAGCTTCAGTGCCTGGAGGAGCCTAGGATGACAAAAAGAAAAAAAAATTATGATTAACAATTAGCCTGACTAGCGTAATTTTGATCTTAGTTTTTGAAGAAATGTGAAAACAGTGAGAGGAATGAAATAAATTAACAAACTAAAAATCCTCACCTCTTTTTCACCAAGCCACGCCTCAATCTCGTCAAAATCATTATCCCTGTGCAACTTAACAAGAAAACAAAGACAAATCAACAAAAGCAAATAAATGTAATGTTTGTTTGTATGTATAAAAAGGGTACACCACAGAAGCAGTCATTTTGTTGTTGTTCCAAGAGTTTTAAAAAATGAAATAGAAATGATCGTGCAAACTACGAAGGTGAATAAATAACTTACTTGGCTCCGACCCTGCGCTATCTCTCCTAGGGTGGTGCTAGTTTGGTCAGGCCGAAGATTATCTTGGTATGTACTTCCACTAAAAATGTAAATTATAACATAATTAGTAAATTGAACAACTAACAAAGTTTCATATTTTTTAAACCAGTGTTCAATGATTTCACATAAAGATTCACCTTCTTTTGCTGGGGTCATAAGAAACATTCACATTCCTTGCCTGGGCAAGCATGTCGAATTCGGAATCAGCCGCACTTTCTGCTCCCTGCTGTGCCTGGACCGAGGGAATCTGACTTAGTTGGGAAGAAGCACCTCCACCAAGACCTTGAAAATTAAGATCAATAATTATTATTCTAGAAAGTTGACCCAACAGAATAACTTACTCAATCCAGCAAGCGAAGTGGCAGCGGCGGCAGCGCCGGCATCCTCGCTGAGGTCAATCAAAGAGGCAGCCGCTTCGGCCCCAGCAGGTTGACCTCCCGACTTGGTGACCTCTCTATTCTTCTCATAGCGGGAGTAGCGCAGGAAGAGGTTGTTCATCTCGTCGTTGATGTGCAGCAACTCGGCCGTCATCTGGTCGTGCGCCACTTTGCCCACCAGGTCAACGAGACGCCGCTGCATGGCTCTGCATGTGGCGTGCAGCTCTTGCAGCAAGGTCAGGTCGCTGGGGTGCTCCTTGCCTGGCACCACCTCAGACAACATTGCGCTCAGCACAGTCATGTTCGTCTTGACAATGTCCATCTCGCTTTGCAACTTGCCCAGCTGCTCCGGACTCAGGCTCTGAGGAATGGCCGCACCGATTTCAACGGCGGCCATCGCCTGAGGGGAGGAAGTTCGCGGTGGCGAAGCCGTTGCAGGTCGGGGTACTGTGACCGAGTCAGTCACACTCTGCAATTCAAAAAAGTTAATATTGAGTTGTATTGTGTAATGAAATTAAAATAATAATAATCAATAAAGTTGAAACAGGGAAAAAATCGGAATCAAAATTTAATATCTATACTTTATTTGCTTTATTTAGATTTAAATTACTTGATATAAAATTATTCAAAACTTGAAAACTTAAATTGAATTTTATTTTTATTTTCATCTATTTTTTTATATGCAATTATAGTTATGAGAAAAATACAGAAGTTGGCCAAAGTATAAAATTTCTTGAAATGATAAAAAAATAAAAACATTTCCTGGATGATTTATAATATTTAACACTTCAATAGTGACAGTTGTTATTTTTTTTCCTGGAGGAATTACTCAACAATGCAGAACTTTATTAAATCTAATCACTGACACTGATAATCTAAATTATAAACTTAATTGCTTAATGCTTTCTTAATAACATTGATTAAATCTTAAAAAAGATCAACAAAGGAATAGAACCAAAAAAACGTAAAATAAATTGGTAGAAAAGAAATAAAATCAAAAGAAAATAATCAAAATTCAATCTCACATTATTTACCCTCTGCGGAGTGATGATAGGAGCCATGGTGTCCAGGTCAGTCATCGGAAATTCTATGCCCTTCTGCCTCAGTTCATTGTAGATGGAAACAACTCCGGACATTTCACTCTGGTGGCGAAAAGCGTCGGCCCAGCTCTGGATTAAACTTAAAACCTTTTCTTGAACTACAGTGGGTGGATCGTTTTTCGGACCTGTTTCAATCGAAAAAAGTAAAATTTTAAATTCATATATAAATTAGAATATAAAAATTGCGCTCACCAATTAATTTGACTAGCTCGGAAACAAAGTCCTTGCTGCATGCCAGGACGTGAAATCTTTTTCCACAATTTTTCACACAAGTTTCCAGTACCTATGGTAAATAATTCATTGCATAAATTAAATTAAATTCAGCCATATATTTTTTTAAAAAAGTATTTTTTTCTTAAATTTATTTTACTTTAAATATCAAAGGAAAGGTGAATGAATTCTATGTCACTGGAAATTCTTGTTTGATTAGTTTTTTTTACCGTTAGCGTGTACATGACGACAGTGTAATTTTTGCCAGCATTTTGCTGAAGCCGTTTTTTGATGGCCCGAATGCCGTCTTTGGGACCGTCCTCGGTATCGTTGATTAAGTCGCAGATCTCCATGTTCAAGGCCCAGTTTTCGCTGGCCAACGATGCGTCTGTTGCGCTAGCTGAAAAAAAAAATACAGAAGTGTGTTATATATTAACATGCTCGTTATCATAGACCGAACTAGAGCATGACTAATTCTTCTTCGTCATGTTAAATAAAAAAAATCGCGCTGGTTTCTAATTTTTATTTTTGTGTATTATTTTAAAACTATCGATACAGGTTATTGGAAACAGATTCTTAATCCATTCACGTGACTTGTTATTAACGCGCTCACATGACCGCGTGTGTGTGTGTGTCTTACGTAAGGACAGGAAAGAAAAAAGAAGAGAGGTGCTTGCTTGGGTTTAGAGTGAAAAACGTACATACATAGTCAGCCCTTATAAGGCTTTATTCAAATTGTAATTCCATTAATAAAAGATTGCGCCCGAGCTGACCGGGCAAAGGTTCACGTACGAGTCGTGATTTCTTTTCTACTGATAATTTTTTCACCCGTGGCCGATAACGCGCGGCGCCGTGAGTAAATATAAATATGTATTCGCAGGTGAGCTGTCAAAATACGCCGTGCATAGCGACAAAGCCGTTCGTCGACTCACCTATTCGCTGGCCCACAGGTGTGGTGAGCGGGTTTTTCTCGAAGAACGACATTATTTCGGTCGCCATTGGAGTGGCCGAGGCGAACAAATTGGCGATGGTTGGTCAGAAGAGGACACGTTCGGTCGGACAGGTCCTCGAGTCGGTGCTAAATTCGCAATTCTTCCAGGCACTTATCAGCCTTTTGCTTCGTCAACTGATCCACAATAATAAAGCAGCGCAAACGCAAAATACATAAGAGGCAAACCACGCCCACGTACTGTGCAGCAGTTCGGTTCCTCTCCGCCAGGTGGACAATTTTATGACCATGCTGAATTTTGCAATTTCTTTTATTTATTTATTCTTAAAATTTCATGAAAATAGTTTTTCATGCAAAATTGTGTGATTTTTTTTTTTAAAATTAAACTTAAGTTGAAATATTAAAGGGAAAATCTTCCCTAGTTTTATTGAAAAAGATCTTGTTTACATCTTTCTTTAACAAATACATTTCTTTTTGGACAATTCATTCATTACCATTTTAAGTACAAAAAATGCAACATCCAGTAATGTCTCCAATTATTCAGAAGTATTATAAGAATGCCTGCGCCTCTTGCCAGCATCGGCTACTTTCTTTACCTCGGCAGGTCTTTTGCTATCCGAGGATTTTTCGTGGCTCTTGCTTTTCTCGACGGTTTTACTTTTCTCGACAATTTTACTTTTTTCAGCACCTTTGCTTTTCTCAATGCTCTCCTTGCCTTTTTCCTTGGCGGGCTCCTTTGATTTCTTGGCAGTCTCCTTGGAAGGCTTCTTTTTAGTTTTGCACTTGCCCTTCTTCGCAGGCTCCGAATCACTACTGCTGCTGCTACTGCTCGAAGTTTCCGAACTGGAAGTTTGCACTTTTTTCTTCTTTGTTGCCTTCTTTTTCTTCTTCTTGGCCGGCTCGCTGTCGGACGACTCTGAGGAACTATCTGAAGACGAAGAGGACGAACTGCTGCTCTCCTTCTTTCTCTTCTTCACCACTTTCTTTTTCTTCACAACCCTCGCCTTTTTCTTCTTCTTGGGCGGCTCAGAATCGGAAGAACTTGAACTGTCCGAGGAACTGCTGTCCGAACTTTCACTCGAGCTGTCTCGCCGTTTCCGCTTCTTTTTCTTGTCTTTAGAACTTGCAGGTTTGTCTTTTTTGGATTCTGTTGAGCTGACCCTGTGCTTTTTCTTCTGGCTCTTCTCTTTCTCCTTTTTATCCTTAGCTTCTGTAGCTTTTATGGCATCCTTTGATGATTCCTCAGCCTTCTTTGGAGCAGCCCTGTCAGAATCAGATTTTTTGTGTTCGACTTTTACGTCCTTTCGCTTTTCCTTCTTTGATTCACTGGATTTCTTTTCCGACACAACTTTAAGTGAAGCACTGGGTTTGCCGTTTTGGCTGTTCGACTTGTTCCTTTCACTTCCCAAATCACTTCCACTCTCGGACACTTTTGCTTTTCTATTTCGATCCGGTTCAGATTTGGCACTTTTGCTGGTGGAACTTTGACCAGGCGCTTCACGTTTCTCCCTTTTCTCCTCACTTTTCTTCCTCTCGGCCTCTTTTGCTTTCCTTTCCACGCTGTCATCTTTTCTCTCTTTTTTCTCGACACTCCTTCTCCTGACGGGACTCTTGGTCTGCCTTCGAACAACAGGGCTCTTGCTTTTTCTCCTCGCCGGGCTCCTGCTTACTTTTTGGACGGGACTCCTGCTTCTCCTCCTCACTGGACTCCTAGACCTTCTCCGGATGGGACTCCTGCTGACTTTCCCCCTAAACGGGCTCCGACTTCTTTTTCTTCCTGCAGGACTTCTGCTCTTCAAACTGATTGGTCTGTCTCGGCTGCGACTCCTCGGCCTCCGTTCCCTGCTCCGACTCCGTAACCTTTCTCTGCTTCGACTACGGTTCCTCTGAGATCTGCCTCCTCTGTCCCGCCTCCTATCTTCAACACTTCTGCTCCTCCTTCGGAATCTTTCATTGCTGCCAAAACTTGGCCGTTTATTCTGCAGATCTCGACTCCTGCTTCTTCGATTCCTGTCGTCAGGTCTCCTCCGATCATCCCGCTTTGGAACAAATTTTCCATCTCGAACGGGACTCCTGGATTTTCCATCTGGACGGGGACGTTGGTCCTAAAATATGAAATATAAATTGTAAGGAAAGAGAAATAAATATAAATCAAGTTACTTGTCCATTCCGCCTCTTGTCATTGAAGTTAAATTTACCCTCACCTAGGTGCTCAACACCTCGACCTACAAATTGATTAATTTGTTAAAAAGAAAATTATTTAAAAAGTATTAATTTGACTTGCCTTTTCCTTTCCACTTAAGTTTGGCAACACTCTGGCTGAAGTCAACGTGAATTCGTCTGTCGTCAATAAGAACATTGTCCATTTTAAAAAACGCATCTTCACACGACTTCTGCTCAGCAAACTCGATGAAAGCGTATTGGAGCGAGTCACCAGTCACTTTGTCTCTGATAATCTCACAGCTGGAAATAAACAAAAATCACTGAGATGAAATTTGATTTTTAATAACAATTTTACCAGTTAATTTTGCCGAAACGACTGAAAATGATTTCCAAGTCCTCGTCAGTGGTTACAGGATTCAGTTTGCAAATGAATAGGACATTTTCCGGAGGTGCCATGTCAGCGTCTGGCAAGTCACCGACAATCTCAAGAATTGTTGCCCTCGCAGCCGCCTCTTTCTCCTTGACCATTTCCTCGACCTCCTCCATGGTTTTTCCTTCCATTTCGTCGATCGCTTCATCAGGAGCAATGCGTCCGTTCTGATCAAAACGAAAAAGCAATAAAGCAAAATATTTCAACACAAAAATGAACTTTTACTTGCAAACGATCAGGTGTTGGCGAGGGCGATCTTTCAGGCACTGGAAGCCCAGACGGATCTTCGAAGGGGTCTTCAAGCACCACAGTGTGCGTGATTCGAATGTCCTGGTAAGGCCTGTGCTCGTCATCACAGATGGTTTCATTGAGTTTGATCAGAACGTCCAAACCCTCTGTAACTTCGCCGAAAACCAGGTGTTCTTCATCGAGGTAGTTCAAGTCAGATCCTAGGGTGAAGAAAAACTGGCTGCCGAACAGGTTGTCTCCGCAGTTGACCATCGAGATGAGTCCAGCTCGAGTGTGTTTGATTTTGGGCAACTGCTCGCCAGCATAATACTTGGCATTGCTGCCAAACAGGAAGCTGAATGCAAAAGAATTCAATTAATAAACTTACATTTGAATTGCATTGATTGGTTTACCTAAAAATAGAAGCGCCGTCTTTTCCCGAGCCGGTGGCGTCACCAGTTTGAGCAATGAAATTCGGTTGCACGTGGAAGAATAAGTTGAAATTGTAGTATTTTATTTTGCAAAGCTTCAGAAAGTTGAGACAAGCTGAAAAACGTGAAAAGCAATGAAAACAGGTTTGTCAATATAAACACATGGACTCACTTTTCGGTCGGTCTTTGATGTACAAGTCCACGGTTATGTCGCCGAGGGTTGTTTCGATGACCACAGCCATTTTCGGCCTAAAAAGCAGCAAGAATTAAAACAAGTTTAAGCACATGTCTTGAGAATTGTCTCTTAACGGCCGTAGTAGGACAAAAGCAAGAAAGAGAGAGCGCGTAACGCCGAAAGCGACAATTCGGACACGTCGCAAAAGTGCGCCAGTTTTGTGCGCGCTGCGTGCAAATCGCTCGCTGATTCCAATCGAGGAGCGAACGAAGACGAAGTCGAGGTTGAAAGGTATCAAAATACGGGCATTTTGCCTACCTCAAGTTGAAATTGCACTGGGAAGAGAGGAATTTAGATCAGGCAGCGCCGGTCAACATGCCATCGCTTGTAGAAAGCATAAACAGCAACATGCATGATGGCGGCGCTCGCTGCAGAAAGAATGGAAGTTTGAATCTCGACTGGCGCGAAAGGCACGTGCTTGAGATTGAAAATACTGCAAATTCAAGATTAATTATAATAAATAACATAAATAATGATAAAAAAAGAAAAATTCATTTAAGAGATAAAAACATCATTGAAAATTATTTTAATTATAAATTCTTAGGTATAAAATTAAATTTTGCTCTATTATCATATTATCAATTATTTGAATTGACAATTATTGCTATTTTTTTTTATATTGATAATTTTTTCTTTTAATTTTTTGTATATAATGTAAGATGGCTTATTCTTCTCAAGGAACCATGGAACTTTGAAAATTTAAAATTAAATATCTTATTTTGAAATAATGTATTTAATTTATTTTATATTTAATCACATTTTTTTTTAATAAAAGATCAAATTTTTTTGTAGTTTAACGTTTTTATTAAATTTTCTATTTAACTATGCGTGTTCTTCCATTTGAAGTTTTGAGTTCACAACTGCTGCACTAAAAGAATAGATCGTCGCTGTCCTGTTGTCATTTCATATCTTTTTTTTTTGCAGTAGAGGAATTATAAGTTGCATTAAATTGAAAATTTTTGGAACAGTCTAGATGATTCTAAAGGTTAAAATTGGTTTATTGTAATCGATTCCCTATTCCCTCACTCAGACAATAATAAATTGGAAAACAAAGTGCTAAATGTGAGGGGGTGTATCGGTGCTGAGCGAAAAGTCTCTGGGGGTGCGTGTGCGCCCCTGCTTTTCCATTCACTTGCAAACATCAATGATGCTTCAACCACGCCCTTGCTCTGCTCTCGCCAATGACTGCGCGCGAGTGTCAAGGTCGACCTGTGCATTTCCCTGTTCTCCATTCGCAATCGGTCGCAAATTGAATTCTTGTGTCGCTTTGGAGCTCAGCGGCGGCGGAGAGGATTGGGATAGGCTTTGCTTCTTTCCTCCGGTTTCGTCCACTCCGGTTCACTTCTCCTAATGAAATTTTTATTGCTTTTAAAAAAAGGAGCAAAATACCAACTCTAAATTACACATTTTAATTATCGGATCATTGCTGTTTATTCCTCCTTATTTTTACAATCATACGTATTAGAAATTCAATTTTTGAAAGAAAAAAATTGGGAAATCAGTTAAATTAAAATATTCAATTATCAATTTACATTTCGTGAGCATAACAAAAACAAAACTCTTCACTTTGATGTTTTCTTTCTTAATGAATCTGAAATTTCCTCGCTATTTACGTTGCTACACAGCAGGAAAGTGTCTGGTTGAATTATTTACTAAATCACACCGCGTTGTGATTCACCTGATATACCGACGATCCTCTTATAGCTCTCGCAAAGTAGGAAAGTGTCGTGTGTGTATTAAAGACTTGGCGGCCTTCTTAAAAGTAGCAGAGAGTGCTCTGCTCACCATTATCAACGACCTATATCTGTCTTCTTATCGTGCTGGTGTGTGCGCCAAGACACATCATCATTAGACTCATTCAAAATAATGCGCCAGCTGCCCAATATAGATTTCCATTATCAATTTTGGCTTTTTTTATACTTCAATATCAGTAGCAATAAGATTGTCCCAGAATTTTTCAAACACAATTCCATTTTTTTCACTGAATTGTGACCAGATTTTAAGATGGGATTCATTTGAAGATACAATATTTTTTTCAAATTTTTCATAATCTTTTGGAAATTTTGATGTTCACTCAATTAAAAAAATTTGGCCATTAATTTTTTTAGGTCTATCATAGAGTTAAAAATTGTGCAAAACATAATTTAGGGCTCGATAAACAACAAAATTAACCAAATCCTAACATCCATGTGAAAATTTTCATAAAAAACCTAAATTTAAAATTTAATCCAAACCTGTTTAATATATATTTGCATTTATTTTAACTTGCGTGTTCTTCTGTTTTATTTGCTCTGCAAATTACGCAATGCACGTGGCTTTAAGCTTTTGTTCACCAAGTCGCATTTATGTTCGTCTTTAATCCGGTGAAAAGTAGCACTGTTATTGTTTTGCCCGGCAGCAACTTTGCAGTTCTCCAAATCCCGCAACGCTGGCTGATTGTTGACAGCCGAGGAGAGAGAAAAAGCACCTCGCTTTTTACTCAAAAGCGCCTGCGAGCGCAGTAAATATGCAAGCCCGCTCGACACGAATGCTCATCCAGTTGCATAATTAGCTGAAAACAAGCAGGCCGTAATGAACGCCCGCAGGAGACTTGCACAAACTCATTTTTCCTAATTCATCCTAGAAAGAGCGCAAAAAAAACTATGGAACTCGAGCGAAGTTTTGCCACCATTAGAGTTCGGTGATAGAAGATAAAGTTGTGCGTTTGGCTGCTCTAAAAGCGGGGGCTGCCATGCGTATATAACATCGACGGACGAATTTCCGAACGATTTCAGGCGAACGCCTTCATTTCTATACGCCATTAAGGAGATTACAGCCTGGCGCAACTCGCCGAAAAGTTGATAGCAGCAGACAAAACGTGTCGAGCGTCGGGTGTACCCATTTGTGTGTGGATTATTCGTCAGATATGCATGGATGTATGTGTGGATCAATGGCCGCGTCTACGATAATAATAACACACGATAAGAGCGGACGCTGCGACCCGTGTCCTCCTCACTGTCTGTCTCGCCCTGCCCTGTGCGTCGCCACCACCTTAAAGGTTATCTTGATGCAATTAAACTGGCTGCGCTGGAACTATTTTTGCTCACCGGCGATCGATTGACCGCAATGCAAGAGCTGAATATACGTGTGAATCATTAAAATACCATTAATTCTATTTGCTATACTTACCATTATTTATTGAGCAGAAAATAAAGTGCTTACTTGGTTGTAAAAGTTAGCTTAAAATCATACTAAGAGCCTCGTTAAAAAAAGTGAATTTTTGTTGTTGAAAAATTAAAATAAAATGCAAATATCTTAATGATGTTATTTTTTTATTCATTTTATTTATAATTCACACATTTTCTTAGCTTGGAACTTTGAAGCTTACAAAGCAAATAAAAAAAATTTTCATGACAATTCCTCTTATATTTTCATTCCTGTCAAGAATGCAATTATTTATGTTCTCAAAAATTGTTGCAAAATAAATAAGGGACATTTTTGGAAAACTTAAAATCCCAATTATTTTTAATTTATGGTTTATTAAATTAATTGAGGTGAATTTTTTTAAATAAACTTTCTAAATTAATATTTTACTTGCTTAAGTCCTGATAAATTATGATTATAACCTATAAATTAATTGTGATATCTGAAGGAAGCTACACGACAATGTATGTTTTCTTGATTCTCAATATTATTTTATAAAAATTGAAACACTATTTTGAATGAGTGTCAGTTATTTTGAAAAATAAAAAAGAACTTACCTTCAGCTCAGCATTTTTCATTGATTGTTCTATAGCAGAAAGCGTTTTCTTGTCTTGAATAATAATAATATACTTTTTGTATGAGTTGAAAAGCGGTAAGAATGATGAAAGGGTGTCAAAAGGCTTGGGTCAAATTTTGATTGCAGCTTCTCTCTTTTAAGATTGCCTCCGAACGACCACTCAATCTTCATGAGCATGGGAGACGTATTTCACGCGAGGGGAGCCTATCAGCCACGATGCCGGAGAAATCTTCAATGCATATTGATTAGCGATTCATCAAACGACTTGCCGCCTTTTCACGAGACCTACTGCGACACGAAATTTCTAGCAGCATCGGAAGGACAACAAAAATACTTTCGTGATAGAAATCAAATCAGAAGTAGGTCAATTAAACCAAAGAAATGTTTTATAACTTGAATAAAACATAAAATTCATAAAAAAAAGTGAAAGGATTAAAATTGTATGTTTCTAATGCTAGAAACAATTTTTGCAATATAGTAATATTTTTTATTTATTTTTTATTTTTAAGAGGCATATTTTGCACACCAAATGGTGGAGTTTTCCAAATTTTTGTTTTTAAATGAGGCAATTTTTTAGGAAAAAAGTGACCATTTATTTCTTGATCTCCAATAAAAACATCAAAATTATAAAATAAAACAGTGATCCATTTTTTATTAGAAAATTGACTTGAAAAAATAAAATACAAAGCGTTTTATTTTGTAAATTATACCACCTGGTCTTTCGGTTGATCATCTTTCCATGTTACATTCAGTTTTTTATTTGTAGAAACATTTTATGGGGAGGAACGAAGCAATTATGAAACACACATAGGGGTATTATTCGTTTGATCGGCAAACTGCGTCGGGAGTCGAGTTCCTGTGTCGCTGGCGGCGTTTATTTGCGCAGTCCGTGCCTGGATATATCTCTGCTCGAGTTTACTCGCGGGAACTTAAGCCCGGCGCAGCAAACCAATATGAAATGAAACCTCTCCGCGCTCGTTCGCTGGCTCGCCTGCAGACAGGTGATGGGAAATGCTGATTTATTGCGAGCGGTCTTAGTTAGTGCGCGGCGTGCTAATTTACAAGCGCCGAGCTCACCACTTTAATGCCCGCTGAGCACGCCATTTAATAGGTTAACCCTCTCGCTCCCAATTCTTTGCGGCTCATCACTGATGCGTATAACCAGTTAATTGAATGGATTCTCTGTATTGCACTCAACCGTGGTATATTAAATAGCGATTTGCGACGGAATATGGAACTGGAGAGAGATTCGCAGAAAAATTAAATCAACCGACTCAAACGTAAATCTCTGTACAAATTTTTAAAATATTACAATTTCCTTTGATTAGTTTAGTTGATTTAAAGTTTATATTATCAAAAATATTATAATAATGATTTTTAAATCAAAATCTTGACATATTTCCAATTAAAAAAAATACACGCACCATCTTTTACAAATCTAGCAAATGTATTTAAATTATAATTGTAACAAAAAAAGTTTTGAATTTCGCACTGAAAGTAAAGCACAAATTTCAAAATTTATGTTTTGTTCATTTCAATATTCAACGATTATTTTCTCGAGAAATATTGAATAAAATAAGAACTTCAAACATTTGCAAGAGAAGGATAT